TCGATATCTTGATTGCTGGCTTTTCGGTAACATCACCGTCATCCTTCCTATCGGCAGTACCCGACTCAGCAACGCCAGTATCCGGTTTCTCAGATATCGGCTGCGTGGTTCGGAGTGAATGGGGTTTGACGGTCTGCTTCGGTGGGAGTGAAGCCATGTCTTCACCGTCATCCTTGGGTGCACGGCAGCAGCTCAGGAACGACCATAGCGATCCTCTTTGCTTCTTGTCAGCCTTTGAATCATGGTCGGCCCGTGAGCCTCCATTTTTGGCACCGAGATGGGTGCCGCCTTGTTCTAGAGGCTGTGCATGCCGTGACCTTGTGCTACTGGCCTTACTGTGGCTCCCCGTCAGATTTGTTTGTGAGGTGGATAGCGAGGCTCCAGTGCCTTCCCGGTTGGTGTCTTCCGACTGAGAATGTTCTTTATTCTTCTTTGACGAGGACCGAGACGGTATGCGGAGGAAGGACCGCTTCTTCTTTGGCTGTTCCGCAGTCTCGGCGGATGAAGAGGTTGCATCATGAGGCATTGGTTCGGGAGGTGCTGTGTGACTTCCAAGAGCTACGCTCGAGTCTAGTTTCAACGATGTTAATCTCTTGACGTTCATGAGGTTATTATGGCCCGTCGACATACCTTGGACTCCCGAAGGGATAGACATTGGTACGGTGAGGTATAATTAATTTGAGCGAGAGCGCCGGGTTATGGAGAGGTTTTTGGGCTGGCTCGACGTACGGGTGGCCGCGTGGGATCTCTCTCCTTCAATTAAGCACTGGGTCACTGACAAGGCCGAGTCGTAGGGCTAAACCGATAGTTCCCAACGGCTTCTAACCGTCAACTCCCAAAACCAAGGAAATGTTGGCGTTGGTGGCCGTTTTTTATTTTTTTGTGTTAAGAAGGATTCACGATATCACAAGCACAACCCCCCAAGAAGCTATCGTCGCAGTCACTTTCGAAAGTGTCAACGAAGCAAAAGGCCGACGACTTCGAGTCCAGCAGCCGGTTCCAGGGTGTCTCTCTGCTGCTCTCCCTCGTTCTCTTGAAGCTGAGGTGGTAGAATGTCGAGCTGGAGGTCGAGAACTCCCCTCCCCCTTTGGAGCGTGCCTTCAAGAGAGCACCGCCTGCTCGGTCCAGACGAGCGAAGCCGGGCGTTTATAGAAGTCGCAAAGCGGCACTGAGACAGGTGGCTGACACTGGCAGCGCCTTGGACGGTGTCTGAGGGCGGCAGAGGGTCGAGGGTCGTCGCAGGGAGCGGTGGTTGTGAGGTCGGGTGCTGGTGCAGGGTCGGGTCGCTCGCTGCTCTCTCTCTCTCTGGGGAGCAAGAAGCAAAGACGAGGAAGCGAGGAAAGCGAGAGGTCGAAGTTGGGAGCGCCAGAAGTTCTGGGTAGGCTTATGTAAGGCCGCTTGGGTGGTAAGATGCACGGAGTCGGTAGGTAATCTTGGTATTGGGGCGGTATCAAAGACGCTGCGCAGGCGTCTCCGGGGCGGCGGGCTCAAAGGGGGAAACTTGGGACTTGGGGCAAAAAGGGCGGCAAAGGGGCCGGAGGGAGAGCAAGCAGGCCGGTACTGATACGGCCTCGATACGGCGGGTAAGGAAATACTCTATTTTCACTTCAGCCCTTGGGTTCGCTAACTAGTCGATGAACCACTCACTTCGCTCGACTCTTCACTGGCTAGCTAGGTATTTATTAGCTCTGCTCTCTCTGTCTCTCGCAGTTTGAGGGACCTGATAACTCGGCGGCTGGAGGCCTCTTTGTCAGGCAGAGAGAGCCAAGGTGGTATAAATAGGGTGTGTGATGGCCCCCTCCGGAGACCGCCTTATTGGGCAACGACCTGTCCTCATCACAGTCCAGGCGGCCAGGGTGTCTGCTCAGTGGCCAATCTGCGGTGCTGACTGGCGGGAGGCCAGGGGCGACAGGACGCTAGCGGCTGGTCTGCAGCGGACTAGGAGGCCGCTCAAGTGCTCCCGGTCACAGCCTGGCCCATCAAAGGGGCCTCCAGTTGGTGTGCTTTTCTCGTTCAGCCCAGCGCCAGCCAGGAATACTACGACTGGAGTACAGAGTACGGAGTACGGACGACATGGTACCATGCATGGAGGAAAGGCAGTGCCAGTTACTGACAGAGTGACTAGTTATTGGGCTGGGATTCTCATCACATTATTGCTGATCCTCAGGTTACATAACATTTCTGGTGGATGACAAGCGAGGATGATGGTCAACAGCTAAACGGAGGCAGATGTCGAGTCGGTCTGGAGCTGCTCTTGCGTTTACGCATGACAAGGGCATATCTTCATGGTTGCCGCGTGATTCTCGCGAATATGCTCGACATGACACCCATTCCAGCAGCCAGAAAGGTTATATTCGATATGGAGAGAGGTCAACTGTCCTGACCGACCGGGGGAATAACATGTTTCTTACCCCGGCCGAGCTTCGACGGAACCTTTGCTGCAGGTATGGAGTTTTACATAAGAGGTGATTGCCGAACGACCACAGGTGTTGTTCTCCACAGCTTGAGGGTCAGCTCCTCCAAGCTCCTCTTCACTTGACTGGCCTCTGGGTCTCTTACATGCACATCTTCCCGTTTTCACGTGGAGGATTGGCCTTTTGACTGCGGAGTACCTTTCTCCCATTTTTCCATCTTGATGAGCATCTCGATTCTCTTGATCTGATCATCGTGTTTTGCCGTCCGATCCAAGCCAAGAGTTTTGCGGCTCAAGCCAGACACGAAAGGATCGCATAGCAAGACAGGGGGCTCGACGATGACTTGCTTCTACTCCCGTAACCACAGATCACGAAGTCTCTACGGAGTAGTTACGAGGTATGAACAAGCTTTTGTGATAAGCAATTGTCCAGTGAACATCTCAAAATGCTATCACAAGGTACACTCTCTTCGCTTGCCGTCCGATCTTGCAGCAGCCGGGCTTGTTTAAACCTCAGAGGCCCGAGATTCTCGAACTACAGGCTAGCCTCATCAGGCATCCACCGCCCATCACAAAACCTGCACAACATCGACTGTCCCAATACACTCTGGAGGGTACATCGGCGAATCTGGCCGTAAATATAAAATCGAACGGACACATGATTATCCGCTTACTTAACTACTACATCCTCAGTGCCGCCAATGAAAAGTTCATCCTCAAGTACATTCACCCAGTTAATTTCAGAGACCTTGGGGACTAAACTATAAGCTACTTGAAGTCATGTCCGCCTTCCGCAGGACATACTACCGGACAAATCAATGTTTTGCGTTTGAGTACTTCACTGGACATCTGTTGCAGCTTGTTCAGGATGATTTGCCCCTGCGAGTGACATAGGAGGTCCTTAAAGATGCCATCCATGAAATCGACAAACTCAATGACCACGATACTGTCCATATTGGTAGGCAGTACCTTTTTCCGAATAAGAGATTAGAGGCTTATTCTGCGAAGATACCAAGGCGGGCAGTATTTTTTCATCGACTGGAAAGGCCATGGCCAGGATACCAGTATTGAGCGGGTTCAGCTGGGAGGCTTTGAAGATGTTGCTTATATACCCCCCAGGTCAGCGGCAGGAAACCAGTTGTGGAGGAGTCCTTAAGCCCATTCATCAGGGCCCTAAATAAGCCTTCTGATATCTGCTCTTTTGCCTTTGTCGTAAGTCTATACCTACAACCCCGGGTCTTTATCGGGTTATCTGCATATCTTACAGTGCATCTGCGCGGTACACACACGGGTCATCTTTGCCGTTTGGGAAGAAGAGTTAGACGAAGGGATTGATCCGCTGTCCATTATAATTGAGCGCCAAATCTCATGCTTTGCAGACGAAGATGGGATAGAAGGGCTTTTGAAACACCTTGGAGGCAGTCCTTGGGCCCAAGTTTCGAAGGGAAGATATTGAAAAAATGGGTCTGGCTGGAGATGCCAACGGTTGACAGCCTTGAGCACAAGCCGTGCAATCCTTAATTTCAGAGCTTGCGGTAATAGAATGAACAACCCTCGTAGAATGCGCTGCCCAAGTGTTCCGAGTACCCTTGTATCTATCAACGGGTTAGTATCACATCACCCCAGCACAACCACTTCGAAAAGGGACCAAACCTGTGTTATAGGACTGCCATCCACGGTGATTCTCTTGTTCAATGGACATATAATTAAACGTGGAAATCGGTTTATGAATTGCTAGCAAAAAAATTTCAGGTAAGGGAAGTCTATCTATATCCGGAGATGATGGCTGAACAGAGACGTAACAAACACCATTTTGGCGCTCCTTGAGGGTAGATACCACTTCTATAGACACAGGTGGGAAATCCGCAGAGAGAACTGTAATGTGAATTTCTTATCAATGGCACTGATGAAAAGGCTTCTTAGACGCGAATGCTCAGAAGTAAGTTTAACAGAGTGAAAAATGTCAAATGTTCGACCAATAAGCTCCTCACGGCTCAATATCATAACCATCAAGCCTAAGTCCTGCTTCATATGAATAGTGTAGATATTAGCCAAGGCATGTTGATATTGAATTGATTGAATGACTAATTAATGATATAGCCGCGAAATTAAGTTTTGACAGCATTTTATTGGCTTATATCCATTTTATTATCACGTGACATTACTTAAACTTAGAGGATGTTGTTGCTTATGTAATCAAATTTTTCTCTGTTCCAAGCTATAAAACCATCGCCATGCAACGGAATAGCATACCAATTTATAATTGGCATTGCGCCGCGCTAAGAATGAACAATGGCATCCTCTACACTTCGGACTGCTATCAATAGCCGCCAGGTGTACATCCGGATGCAACCCGCCCCCCGCACCCTGTCCCAGAGCAGAGCAGTTTTGAAATCATTGCAACAGTTTGGGGAAGTCTCCTCATTTCTAAATACAAAGGTAGAGTGAATTAGTTTCATCATATAGTTAAAAACCACGATTCTAACTCGCGCGTTAGTATTTTAAAATTCGTACGTCGACGTCCGGAGGCACGGCATTCGCCATCTTTGAATCATCTCATTCTGCCTCGAACGCTATTAAGGCCTCGCCATTGACGGTCCCTCTCTCCAACCAGAGGCCGAACAACTCTATCCACGAACATTCAAGCTCCTCTACGCCCGGCGAACATCTTCCACCTCACCCATCTGACACATCTGGCGAAACCATCCAATGCACCATCACAGAATCAGAATATGATCACAAAGCGAACATGAGAAAAAACCCATATAATATGGGGTTTCAAATATCGCGACATTGGATGGAAGTGCAGGACTTGATGCGCGCGCCAGATAACCAAGTCCCCCTAGCTGAATATGCGGATTGCTTCACGAAACGAAAGTTTTCAATGCCATTTCGAATTCAAGACCGGAACTTTGAAAAGACAGTTAAAGCGGGAGGAACTTCGTTAATGGGGATGTGGAGGCAAGGCCTGGAGGAAGAGAAGAAGAAGAAGAAGCAGATAGACGATGATAAACGCCACGATACCGAACAGCCACAGCAGGATCCTAGTTCCGGCTGAGGTCCAATTAGCCTGAGGAGCCAGTCGGCACATTTAGCAGACGTTTTGACACAGGCTTTCAGTAGCCACGATCAGCGCTTACAGATATGCGACAGAGCTGACGTCAGCCTGGATACAATCATACGGCTTTATCGCGGCATGGCGGCTGGTTACTCGTGCGCGGACAACCACTTGCTCAAACAGAGAGCGAATACTAGTGCATAAATGTACTTCTACTGCACAGCAGCGGCATCATCAAACGGTGTCCGAGCTCGGTAACTACACAACTTTCCCTCCCATCCACTCCGGGAATACAGCTAGGTGGGCTGAGGGTACGGCAAGGTGATTGTTATACGATACGACTTTGGAACTCCGGGTTTATCCCAAATCATAACACAGAGTACTAAGTGGGTTGACTCGAAATTTGGTACAGTTTGTGTTGGCAACGCCCTGCTATCATTATTATATCAAATATTATTTCTAGCCCAAAATTATACATATGCGGGCAAAGAATATCCCAAAAATCATATTTTTATCCAAAGATTGGAAAGTTGCAGCCGTACTGCGATAGTAGAGTCAGCATTGGCTATGAAACCACTAATTTGGGGGAAAGCTAGGTATCACTCACAGTTGGAGGGTCGTTGAACCGTAGTCCCTGGTTGAGAGCACTAATGGTTGAAATTTCGTTGGTAGTAAGGTTAAAGCTGGTTGCATCAAGGTTCTCCGCCAGTCTTTCGGGGTTGTTGCTCTTTGGAATAACAGATATGCCCCTTTGAGTGGCCCATCGAAGCAACACCTGTGCTGGGGTCTTTCCATGCTTCTCGGCAGAAGCTTGGATGGTTGGATGTTCAAGCAGCAATTTGGTCCCCGTAGCTGCCTTGTTCTCCAACTCGATGAAGCTCTGAGGGCCGAGAGACGAGTAGGCTGTGACAGCCAATCCTTCGTCCTGAGCGTATTTGATCAAGCCTTCTTGGGTGAGGTAAGGGTGATGCTCTACCTGCAGAGTAGCAGGCCGGATACGAGCATATCGCAGCAAGTCCATGAGCAACTGAGTGCTAAAGTTGCTGACTCCAATGCTGCGCACGAGTCTCTTATCGACCAGCTCTTCCATTGCTCCCCAGGTCTTGTACATTGGCACATCGCTGGCCTCGGCTTGCTCTCCAGGGGCACACCACTCTGGGGGATATCGAACCGCGGGGTCAACGTATTTTAGAGCGATAGGGAAGTGAACCATGAACAGGTCGAAGTAGTCAACGCCCCAGTGAGACAACTGACGGCGGCAGGCTGGTTCGATATGTTTGGGATCGTGGAAGGTGCCCCAGAGCTTTGAGACAATGAAGAGGTCTTCTCGTTTCACAATGCCTTCTTTGATAGCGCGAGCCACGCCTTGTCCGGCTTGTTCTTCGTTCCCGTAGTCTACGGAATAGGAGTGAGTGACGAGACATCGAATTGATAGATATATGTATATATAACGTACCACAAGCACCATCGAACAGTCGATAGCCAGTCTTGATGGCATTGTAGACCTGGTCAGCGCAGGTCTCTTTATTGACTTTCCATAGCCCAAACCCCACGATCGGCATGGCGTACCCGCTGTTCAGCTTCACCGAAGGAGCTGTTAGATTTGGGGTCGTGGATGCCATGTTTGTGGTACGTCTTCTTTTTGTATGGTCAAGGTGATATCCGTAGAATGACTTGAAAGTACAGCTCTCTGTCTGCTTTGAAAGTGGTTAATAGTGTGGAAAAAGAGGGAAACCTGAATGGTTCGACGGCGATGTACTTGCCTTGAGTTTGTTAAGCAACTAACCGGCGGGACAATCAGTGGGTACAGCGTATGATTAGCAGCAGCAAAAGAAACCAATTGATCGTTCGGGATATATATATAAATATGAATGCGTGTGCGAGAATGTCTAGATCGTTAGATAGCTATCGATCCAAGAATGCTGTTCTCCGGGCCCCTTCTTATATCTTATATTCGCGTTGCCGACTGAAGACCGAGGTCGAGCATCCACGTCGAGTGGCGACTCCACGGCGAACATGATGATGACGAAAATAAAAACGACTGGAGAGGCAAAGCAACTTGGCAGCGGGACCTGCAGCGTGGCTTTGAGATATCGAGATGCCGTTGCTACCATCCGCAGGGCTATGGAAAGGGTGTGAAGAGAGCGAGAGTGAAGACAAGCAATCTTACGAGCCAAGGCTAAGCGTTGGCATTACTTATGTCTGTTTCAGGAAGAACCGACGGTACGTATTACCCTCTAGCTATCAATCGGCTATCTATGAACAACAATAGTACAACGAAACATTGGCAGATGTTTAGTCCTCAATGTCCGCGTCAACATGGAATTTCTTCCGTCCAGGACCCATAAGTTTCTGTATTTTGACCTTGTTCACTTGAGCATCGACCTTCTTCTCGATCTCCTTAATTTGGTCTTCTGGATCAGTAGCCTCTTCAGACACGAACTCAAGCACCAGCCGTCGGCCGAGGAGATGGGTGTTTCGCAACGCGTCCATTGCATTCTCAGCCTCCCTTGAGCTCACGAAGTCAGCAAAGGCGAAGCCCCGAGCAGTGTGGTCGAATTTCTTCGGCACACGAACAGATCGAAGCTGGCCATAGGCCGCGAACAGGGACCAGATATCCTTCTTGGTTGCCTGGAAGGGTAAGTTCTTGATGATGATCTTGGTTCGTTTGGCGGAGGCCTTCTTTGCATTGTCTTCTTTTCGTCGTTGCTCTGCTGCATCCATGCCCTTGTGAGAGGGTTTGATGACGAGCTCGTGCTGGTCGAGTTTATACCCATTGAGAGCCTTTAGAGCTGCTTCAGCCTGAGCTCGACTCTTGAATTCTACAAAGCCGAAGCCCATGCTGAGTCGTTCGCCTGGTTTCTTGGGATCGGGCCTGGTCTTGACCTGTGCAGAAATGAACCCGTCAAGAGGTCTAAACAGGTCGCTCAGACCGGCATCAGTAGTGATAAAGTTAAGGTTGCGAACGAATAACGTTGCGCTCTCCATTGGAGCTTCTGGCTCATCTGCCTTGAAGGTATCTGACGTAGAAAAGCCCTGGGAAACGACTTTTTGGGTCAATAATGACGGCATTGTGACCGTGGGACCACCCTCGAACAGGTTCTTAGGAGCTTTCTCTACATAGAGAATTGAGTCACCTAATCTCTTATAGGCAAGGCCCTTGAACGCTCGCAGAGCTTCATCAGGCATAGCAAATTCAACTATAGCAATCGTACCACTTGGTGGCATGAGAAGCTGTGTTAGCTGCCCAAAGGGTTCACAAAGCTTTCTAATATCTTCGGATGAAACCCCATATGTAAAATTTTTTAACAGAAGAGCAGTGTTTCCTCTTTCACGTTGCTTGAAGGACTCTATGTTTACACCGTTAGCACTAAAATAGGCCTTGGTTTCCTGGATAACATGAGTTTCCGCGTGAGCTTGCTTCACAGCAGCATCTGAGGAAGTTGGGTCTAGAAGTTGTGATTTCGAGACTCCCAACCTGTCTGCTACAGAGGCCATCACTGCATCAGTCTGTTCGACTTATTAGCTATGGAACTAATTAAGAGGTTTAAAAAATGCGAAAAACTTACATTCATATACAGAGAATTCCAGCTAAAAGTAGACGAAGCTGCCTCGGCTTTCCTTTTGATTTGTTGTTGCTTCTTCAAAGGGAGCTTCGAAATTTCAAATTCGTCAAGCTTGTACGTTTTCTTTGAAGAGGCAGGCAATATATGCATCAAGCGGCCTTGGAAGTCTTTCCCGTCTAATTGCTTATATGCTTCAATTGCAGCGTCACTTTCAACATACTGAATGTAGGCAAAACCCTTGCTAGTAGAATGTCGAGTATCTGTGGCAACATGAGTCTAGTTTCAGTCAGCTTTTGTCACATCTCTCAAATTGTCAAGCAGCTGCTAGTTGAAAAAAGAGGGTGTGGTCTTCAGATTAAAGAGGCATCTACTAAAATACTCTTCCTGGTCACATCATGTGCAAAGCATCAGATGTCCCTATCAGGATAATCATCATATAGACTGTGGGTGGGTTTTAGGATGGATAACGAAAAATGGTGATATCGTACCTCTTCAATTTTACCAAAACGAGAAAACGTGGCACTTAAATCATCCTCAGACGCATTATAAGGTAAATTTCGTATAAATAATCGTCCAGTGAGCCGAATAGATTCAATGTTAGCGTCTGGAGGAGGCTCTGGTACAGCCTCTTCCTCTTCAATGGCAGCTTTCGTGCTGTAAGTTTTGGCAGGAACAGGGGTCTGAGCCGTTTTATCTTCGGACGGCTTTCCCTTCCAAGTTTCAGCAGACATCTCATCCTCGTCATCGAGGAGCCCCAGAAGGCGGGATGTCTTGGACCGTAGCCAGTCGTCATCATTCTGCGGTTCTGGATTGTCCTCGCTTGTATTTACTGCATCACCAGCTTCATTAAGTTCGGTTTCCGACTGCGTTACGGAGATACCAGTAACAGTATTTTCAGCATTATACATCTCAACGTCATCTTTATCTTCTGTGGGTTCCTTTGTAGCATCAATCGCAGGGTCCTGCTCTTGATGTACAGTTGGAATTGCGCCGCTATCAGCCCACGTCCGAGACTTCGTTGGAGGCTGCATAGCAGTCAGGTATTCTTGCAGCTTTTCATCTTCCTCAGGATCCTGGGTGTCACGTTTCCGCTTGAGAGAAGGGGTTTCCTTCTTAGCATTCAGGTGTTTTCTATACCTAGCACGTAGATCTTCCGAGTTATCGGCATCGACCTTTGAAAACAACCCGGTCAGCTCTCTTTCATTGAGTCCTTCAAGGCCTGTTAGCCTCGCAAAAGCCAAGCACGAGTACTCAATGCGCATATTCAGCACTTTTGGAAGGAACGTCAGGAATACTTACAGCTCTGGCCATTTCCACCGATATCTTCGACATGTTGATAAACGACTTATTGAAGTATTTGACGGCATTTTCAGCAAGATCCGGCCCCTTGAATCCCACGAAACCAATTCGTCGATTGGGGATGACATGAGCATCTGTAACCTCGAACCGCTGGGCAAAGTGATTCCGCAGCTTATCACTTGTCAGTGAGGGTGGAAGCCCAGACACAAACACACGAGTGCCTTCCATCTTCTATAACAGATAAAGAATTCCCCTCGCAACCCTCGTCACATCCTCCCGTGGAGTTTGACAAAAAAACCAAAGAATGAAAATCTTGGATGTTCTTTTTCATATTTTTACTGTTAAATATTTTTTGGTGACTTTTTTTTCTGCCAAGGCGGTGAGTGCGCATGTATTATGTCATCAGCTGCCGCCCAAACAAAAAATAAAAATAAAGAGGAAAATGTCTGTGCGCTTGTCAGCCTTTCGTCACCAAAAGGAAAAAGGAAAACAAAAGGATAAAACGGACGGGGAGAAACAAAGGACAAAAGCGACAGACATACAGACAGACAGACAGCAAGCCACAACCTGGAGGATCCCCTGACATACCCGTTGAACTGAACGACCGCAAATTCATAAGCGTCTCCCCCCCGATTCCCACTGTCAATCGCCATGGCCACCGAGAAGCGCGAGAAGCTCGAAGGTACCTTGTTTTCATACCCCTTTTATTCGTTTCCCCTCTGTGATTTGACTTGAGGAGCTAACGGCGGACATGCGAACTGCAGCCCAGATTAAGTCTGTGGACATGGTGAGAGAGTGTTTGCCCTGATATATGAGAAGATCACTGTATAATTGATTCCTGGAGTAGAGCGAGGACATGCAACAGGAGGCAATTGAAGTTGGTATGTGTGTTTCTAATTGCTCCCCCACACGCTACGCGCTCAAACAAGCTAACACACCACCACTATTTAGCTACCGAGGCCATGGAGAAGTACCATATCGAAAAAGCAAGTGATAAAGCGACCTGGACGTCTGTGCTATGTTTTCGGTGGATATAGCTAACCGCGGCCACCATAGGACATTGCGCAATTCATAAAGAAGGAGGTTCGATGGCTTTGGCGTCTGGAGAGAGTGTGAGGGTTACATGCTGATAACGGTGATAGTTCGACTCACGAAAGGGTGCTACCTGGCACTGCATTGTCGGAAGGAACTTTGGAAGCTTCGTCACTCACGGTATGCTATGCTTGGGCCGTTGGACATTGATTTGATGGAAGCTGACTGGAGACAGAAACCAAACACTTCATATACTTCTATCTCGGCCACTGCGCCATCCTCCTATTTAAAACGCAATAAGTGCTCAAGACACTTTTGGATTCCTCGAGCGGAGCGTGTCATCTATACTTCCCCTTCTACCTGATGATGCCCCAGCCCCCGCTGTGAGCCAGACTCAGGATACTCGGGCAGAAGGTGTGTTTTGGAGGGAGAGGCTGTGTTAATGAATTGTTGTAGTTCCTGACTTCAGGGATATATGCCGCTTTTTTGTTAATGATACTCTCTAAAGCAAGCATGAAATATGGTTTATTGCTGACAATATCCCTGATATCCGTTTCGGGTCTATAGTTGCTCGTTTAGTACTGACTTCGTCTAAAATGTTAACCAACATTTCTTGTGTATCCTTGTCCTTGCGAATAAAGGTAATGATTAAATACTATGGATTGATGTACACATGAGGTTGACTTAGAACTCAGAAAAGAGCAAGGGTATCTAAGCTAAGAAGGACAATTCCAAGGTAGAACTAAAAACAAGGGCATTAAGGCAGAATAAGTGTGGCAGTAAGGGAGGAACATATGTAACACTGCAATAGAAGAAAACACTCTCAAACATAAATGCATGTCAAATATGTAGGCGATCTGGTGATATAGCACTTGTGGTTACTTATAACCGGGCTGTTGCGGCGGTTGGTATTGTTGATACGGCCCTTGCTGGCCGGGCGGTGGGCCGTAATGCGGAGGACCTCCAGGCGGCGGCCCTTGCCCTTGACCTTGATTCTGGCCACCAGGTCCTTGAGATTGGACATCCGGTCTCATACTAATATAAAATTATTAGCACGCTAGTCGGTATGACTAACAGCATCAATATAAGGAGATCGAGGCTCACGATAAGTCTTGCGAAAACCGGCAGATATGGCAGTATACTTCCTAAAAGCAGTACTCCGTTAGCAAAGGAGCTTACTTAAACAACTATAAGCAGACTCAGTACTCACTTTATACTTGTGCATGGCCAGAGGAATAACTGGCTATTCAACGACAGTGTTTAGTATTCCACGTAGATAAAGCATAGGTTGAAGCTCATACAATGAAGCAGACAGTGAAAAACGGCCTAAAAAGCGTAAAGAGACGTCAGTAAGCTGCTCCAGTGTATAGATTAACCATTTTTATAATCCTCCAAATGGCTGTTGAGAGGTTGACTGACCATCTGGTGATACACCGTCCCGACCAGTTACCACCTAGTCAAGTAGTACACCGAGTTAGAGAAGAATAATCCATGGGCAAAACGCATAGTCGCATATGCACAACATAAAATAGCGCTGTCTTACAGTTCTGGCATTGAGCAGTGACGTTCTCATATCCTTGGAGCTGCGAGGTGAACTCTGGTAGGTGATAAAAAAGGAGGTCCCAGGGTTAGTCTGCGGGCTCTCAAGCTTAATCTGCGTCAACTTATCAGCGGACAAGATCTCCCGAACGTACCGTGAGTGCCGAAGGTTATGCAGATAGCCATGGTTGCTGCTTGGATGCGACTCGAGATATGGTGATAGCTAAACGTAAAACCTCCAGCTGAAGGTCGAAATAGTCGTGAGTTGTGAGTTGTTCGTAAAAAGGGCGGAGTAGGCAACGCGGAAGTTTTGTTTGGTGTTAATGTTAGTTACGAAGAGCGAAATGACGCAGCAGCCAGGCTTGGCTATGATCGGCGAAACCAGGCCGGTTCTATTTTCAGCCGCAGGAACAGGAAGCCAAAAGGAAAAAACACATAGGAGACGCAGATGCGAGACAGCGAGTTTGTTCAACGCTGGTCGATCGTTGCTTCGGATGCCATATCACATCACGAACTAAACTAGGTAGTTATCTTTCTCCTCGAACTATATGGCGCTGTCCATGATAGAAGATAGGCTCCTTTCGTTGTGGTCGACATTCAGGAACTGGGTTACTACCTTTTTGCATCGTCATTCACTCACCCCTTGCTGCTATACTAACGAGCTGGCCAATCTGGGGCATGAAATCGATATATATTGATTAACTTATCCTCGAGTATTTACTCTTTGTATCAACACAGTGCTGGCTGTCTGATTCATAATACAGGGAAAGCAACTGGACGCGAATAATGATGACGTTATACCCATGGAGAGATACGCAGAAGGCGAATTCATCTGCGGTGGCTTAACTGGAATCGTTGAGCTGCTTGATGATGGCACAGTAATTAAAGTCGCCCTTCCCCGACCCTATGATGGAAGACCGTATCCAGGACATTGCAAAAGAGGGCCTTATATATCGACGGCTCGGTTCCCATAAGAGGCCTGTCAGGGTAATCAGCCATTCAGATGATGGCATTATACTTGAGTATATACCAAATGGTGACCTTAAGGCGTATTACAGTCTCACAGGTCTAGCACAATTCCAATAATTCTTAAGTTAACTTGGACGTACCAAGTACCGGAGGCCGTCCTGTTTCTACACGCGAATAATATTCTCCATCGTGATATAAAACCGCGAAATCTTCCCTGGATAACGAACTTAATGTTAAGATTATCGATTTCTCTAGATCCTCTATAGATGATTCTAAGCCAACTTCAGGTGAAGGAACTCGACTTTACCTGCGACGCGACTGGGGAGAGCCACCAACTAAAGCAACAGACCCTTTCGCTTTAGGAGCGGCCCTATATGAAATTTTTCGAGGTAATAGTCCTTTTGAGGAGCTTCCTAGTGACGATGTGAAGTGACGATTCATTATAAGGCTCAAGAGTTCCCTGCCGTTTCTGATATTCCATGCAGCCAAACAATTGAACAGTGTTGGCTATCAGAGATTAATTCTGTCCAAGAAGTATATACTGCTATCGGAAACCTCATAAACAGTAAATGATCCTTAACGCCGGCTGCATCACTTGCCTTGATTATTCGGTAGATATACGGACTAGTAAACCTGCTTTTTACTCTTAGTGATAGATGACCAGATAACAGGCCAAACCCTGAGTGGGCACCCAAAGATAAAACGTCCTCCCACCCCTCTACAAATCTCCAACATCCAACATCTACCACCCAAGCATCGAGGGCAAGACGTCAAGATGAGCCAGGTTCCCATCATCGATTCTACTCCTCTCTTCACCTCTGAGTCCTTCACTTCTCCGGAATGCCTCACCACGATATCCCAGATCCACTCCGCGTTTTGTACGTGGGGTATATGCGTTCTCACAGGGACCAATTCCATCCCACCAGAGCTCACGAAGTCTCTAAGCACTGCCCTGAATAAATTCTTTGCACTATCCTCGCAAAAGAAAGAGGCTCTTCACTTGAAAAACGGAGGATGGGCATGGAGAGGGTACATGCCTTGGGGCGGAGAAGGATCAAAGGGTAACACAGACCAAAAGGAGGGCTTTTATGGAGGCCCAGAACTGAACCCTGAGGAAGAGCATGAGTTGAAGGGTTTGCCGACGTATGGGAAGAACCAGTTTCCCGATGAAGACGTGCCTGAGATGAGATAGTTGGTGCTCGAAAATATCGACAAAGCAACCAAGTTTGGTTTGACTATCAGTGATGCCATGAGCGTGGGGCTCGGTTGGGACAAGGGAGAGATGAGGAAAAGGCTTCTCGAGCCTGAACCCATTCAGCTTTTCCGTGCTTTCAAGTATTCCAAACGCGATGGAGTTGAAAGCTGTGGCATTGGAGAGCATTCGGACTTCGGTTTTCTCACTATCCTTTCGCAGGACGCGCCAGGTCTCCAAGTCATGTCCCCTTCAGGCGAATGGACGGATGTGCCCGTGATTCCCAACTCCTTCGTGGTCAATGGTAGGCATTTGCATAAAAAATATCTCAAATCTTTGTGGTATAGCTAATCTCAACTTTTCCTAGTTGGTGACATTCTCGATCGTCTCACTTCCGGACTCTATATTGCACCACTTCACCGGGTTCTACCACCGCTGCCTGGGTCTGAACGGCTTTCCATTCCGTTCTTCTTCGATCCAGCCTGGACAGCTAAGATCGAGCGTTTCCCTCTTCCTAATGCTACTAGCAACACTGACCCTACAAAGCTTAAACGCTGGGCACAACGGTCAACTTTTGACAGCCTTCAAGGTATCTGGGGTCAGTACCTGGGTATAAAGGTGCAGAAGATCTTTCCAGATCTTAAATTACCTGAGTTCTCTGCAGTTAGCAGACCAAGCACGAGACACCTCATCGAAGTCAAGCAGGTGTAGGGATACGTTGTTAAGCGCACTGTATTAGTAGTCTGTAGACAGTATTTTTTACCCCTCTAGTCGCGGATCATGCCACTCAGTTTATACCCCTTTGATAGCGGGCTAAATAAACCAAGTTGTTAGTTACTGCATGCATAACACCAGCAGATTTCCTTCAAGAATTACTCAGAAAGCCCCTTGTCCAACGTGCATCCTCACACAGACTTCAATCCATCCTCTGCAGCCGACACCTCCTCCTCCCACCACTCCTTAAACATCTTGAGCCGTCTCGTCCTCTCCTCCGCTAGCCTTCTCCCTTCCTCGGTCTTCATCAAACCCTCCAGATGCTCCAGCTTCACAGTAAAATGGTCAATCGTCTTCTGCAGAGTTCTTCCCTTTTGGCCCGTGTTAAAGGCTGCACCACCATACGTAAACGCGCGGCCAATACCAACGCTGCCAATTGCATCTAGGCGATCCGCATCCTGCACAATACCGAGCTCTGGAATTTCCCGCACTAGCTTCTGTACATTCTCCCAGGATTCTGCTGACTTTGTTTCTGCAGAGAACGATACGTTGCTAACAATCTTTTGAATCGTTTCTGCCAAAGATCTTGATGCCCCAAAAGAAACAAGGAGCTCGTAAACCATGGTCTGACCGTTCTCGCCAGGTTTGAGGTATTTCTTGTCACCGACGTCATGCAAAAGCGCGGAGAGCGTGATGATGAGGGGGTTATACTTGGGCAATGGAGCATTTGTAAATACATGTACATATGATGGAGTTGAAGCAATAAGCCTGGCAAGGCCGAGAACTCGTAGGACATGGTCAAAGTCATGAGAGCTGTCATAATGGGACATGTATTCTTTGACATATGAGGTAACTCTTTCGACAAGAGCAGAATCCGAGACTGTCGATGTGCCAGCAACTGCTGAGAGGCCTCTTTCACCCTCGGTGTGTATGTATTCCGCAGGATCACTCATGATGGGATATTGTCCTGCTGTTAGCCAACTGCTAGATGTAAGTAAGTTGGGAGTTGAGCATTCCAGATCTGATGTTTAACTCACCTACCTGGGGCCTCTTTTCATATCACGTGCTGCTTGACAACCAGGTACGTGTAGATCGATGTCTACTTATCAATATTGTAGTGGGTTATTGGATGGATAGGAAAGGCTAGCAAACGACACAAGAGGCTGGCCTGAGGCTCAGGGATTCTGAAATCCGCGTCGTTAACACGATCAACACCCACCGAACTTCCCCGAAAATCACCTTCCGTCATTAGCAGTTAAACGGCTAGGAAATATAGTAACTTGTAGGAAACCCTGGGCCGCGATATCATCCTTACCAAGGTTACTCTTGCAGAGATCGCGGAAAGAACGTGGAATAGTGGACGTTCATGTACCGGTGTTGAAATCCATTGGCCGTTTACACATACTACATCCTACATTATACCAGCTGAAACAAAAATACTAATATGTAATGCCAAATAATGCAGTTCAATAAAGTTACAAGAGAAGTAAAATCTAGCTAGATTTTGCAGGATATTGAGAACCCAAATATACAGCTGATATCGGGGATGGTTGATGGACGTGTATGGAGAAGAAGGTATAAAGGGGGAACAAACACATGCAAAAAGTAAGCTGCGGCATCTGGTAACAAAGAAGGTATCGTGTCAATATCCCGCTTTGACCAAACGCGCATGTCCATCACAAATTTGCCCGGGGTTGATTTGGCCTTGAAAGGTGGCCAGCATGTAAAGATCAAAAAGCCCGTGTGTCGTAAGGTATAGATTATGGTATGTTGAGTAGTTGTGTTGTAGAAGACGAACCCTTATCCGGTACATAGGTTCAGACCTTCCCAGCCATGAAGAAGATAAGAAAGAAACGACCTTTATAAGATTGGAAGCCATAACTCGTGTTTTGTCGGTGATCGGAGCGGGAATGGAGGAAAGCAGGAAAACGATGAAGAAACGAGAAGACTCCGTTGAAAGGACGCCCAGTTTACGAGGAGAATTTGCGAGTGATCTTTGCAATAACTGCATCAAAGTCGTGTTAGTTCCAAACCTCCGAATATTTGAAGAAACATCACAGAACCGAAGAAGAGACGTACCATGTAATCCGACAACAGAGAAAATGAACCCAAGAGACAAAACCAATACAACAACAGGATCAACCTTCAATCCTGGGCTCTCATCGGTGTACAGCTTGAGCATGGTACCGGATGAGCCACCGGCTCCGGCAGCTCTGGTTGATGCTGGGCGCGCATTTCGTACGGATTCCTTGTGATCTGCGGCAGCGCGGCGACGGAGGGCTGTTCGTGGACCTCCTGGAGGCGTAGGGGAAGATGGACGCAGGGCAGAGCTTGAGCCGCCTGCTGGGCCAGACTGGCTGGCTGGCTTGGACCCCTCAGCACCGGACTCGGCACCTGATACCATTGGAGAGGAAGCCTGTGTACGATAAGTATGGTTAGCATAACTGTGCATGTAATGGAGATAGATGTTTTGGGTCAAGGGGCAAGAGAATCATGGCAAAAGGGAAAAGGTTGGTTTCGTTACCATTGTGGGAGGAAGCGCCTGAAATTGGTATTATAGGAAGGCTGGGGGGGAATCCGCTATGAGACTAGACACGTTGGAAGATGTGAGGCGTGCCTGTGTGTATCTGTATCTCCAAATGTCGTCTTGCTTTGCGCTGGAAACATGAAAGAGGCCACGATTTCCCAAGTGGTGCGGTTGTGATTATGTCAGCAGTTGACTTGTCGTGTTTTCTGCCGTTCATCACCGCCTTCGGACTGGGGAAGCTTATATAATCAAGTATCAAATTCGAGATATGAGTAGAAGGCCGATAAGAGAAGACAGTCAGCGTAGATGATGATGATGGAAAGAGTTTGATGTTATAATAACTGTCAGTTGAATTTGTCTATAATATAGAGTGGAATATCGAACAGTGGAATAGTGGGTATACACAACGTGAACATGACAGAGATGAGAATCCAAGTATATTTGACACGCTGAATAATGTTCAAGGAACTCACAAAAGAGTGACAAGGCGATGGGCCAGAGGTAAGGTAGCCTCGCAGAAGTACAAATAGGTACAGGGAAATAAGACAAGGCAGGAGTCATAGGAAATACATGAGGTATCATTCGGAAAAAATGAAGCGAAAACGAAAAAGAATCCTTCTCTAACAGGATTAAAAAAGTCGGCTTGCTATATGAAGGAGGTGGTTGAACATTAAACCATATTGACCTGCTTGTCGTTGGCATTGTTTCTGTTTTCCTTTATCGTCCAGATTCAAGTTCGAGGTAAGCATTCGAGCAGATATTGCTGGGTGGTTCCGAGTCCAAAAGCATGAAAAAGATTAAAAGGAAAGTACATAAAAGTGAACAAGAAATGAGAAAGAGAAACGAGAGTAAAGGAGAGGAATAATGGAGAAAATCCTTGGGGTATATGGCATTGGAAATGTTAATTGCAAGTTGAGTTTAGTATGTTTTTTCTTCTTCCTTTTCATCCTTTTCCTTTCAAAGGAAAACGTTTAAAAGTTATTTTCATTCACCATCAAAGTAGTGATATTTTTATTAATCGATTGTCATGCGAGTGGGCACTGGGTGTGATGAGAACTGGTCATGAAGTTCGGTGCCTTCCTTCTCAGCACCGCGTGGTTTCTTCTTGCTGGTGATGTGTGGCTTCAACCCCTTGTTGAAGTTGAGAGTACACAGTATGGCGTTGACAATGGTCATTACGATGAGGATGATGGTTGCAACGGCGAAGAAGGTAAGAGATCGACGAGCAGGGAGGTAAGCCTCCTGCTTCTCCGGAGAGTACATGCGGATTAGCTTGAAAAGGAAGTAGGCAAAGCCACCGAAGTAGAGCAACTGTGAGGGAAAGGTCAGCTTTTTCCCCTTTTAGGATCAGCGGGGTGAGTATAACACTTACAATGACGATCACCATGCCAACTGTATTCTCACGTCGAGTCCAGAATGCGGCCATAACCAAGATCAAGATAGTTACTGGAATGGCAGCCAGGGTGAGAGCAAACTCGACAGTCTTGGTATCTGTCACAATAACGACAAACTGGACAGTAAACCCGAGGAAGAAGAAGAAATCAAATTTCAGCAGAGCAATGTAGATCTGCAAAAGAGACAGGTTAGTAAAACTGTCTAGTTAAATCATATGACAACGAATACAAACCTGATAAGTAAGATAGCGGCGCTTCATCCGCAAATCAGCGCTGATATGTTTGTAGATTGTCCATGCGAATTCATCGTACAATTTCCAAGCAAGGAAACCCATACCAACGGTTCCAAGTGCAGTGATACATGGAATCGCAATAAGGAATGGCCTAATCTCGGATAATACTTCTGGGTGGATGAGCTTGTGGTCAGATAGTAGTGTTACCGAAGTATCAATCTGGTCGATTTGCACGGCGCCATAGATGAGCAGGCCAAAGTTGCAGATACATAGTCCAATGACCTGGATGGTATTTTTCAGCCGCAGTGCATCGTAAACCAAAACGAGCTCGTAAACGAAACCGAAAATATAGAGGGTAAGGAATGTCGGTATCGTTTTCGATTCGGTATTCCGCGACGAATCTCCCATAAGCTGAAGTTGGAATCTCGCAAAGATGTATCTACCGAGTGTCAGCTCTGGTATTAATTATTTCGTATCCATGAGGGAGAAAGGAAAAGGGCCTCAAAAAAAACTTACGATTCAAATGCAAGAATGCAGGCCGCTTGTACCGTGGTAACGATGACAAACGACCACGTCCAGCGTGTGTTTGGTAGATACATCTTCCACGACGACTCTCTTTGTGCCGTGTACCCTTCTCTCGGCCTGAAGCCCTGACCCGGAGGAAGTAACGGCGGGTCTATCCCTGGCTCTCCCAAGAGAGATGTCCGCCTCGAGTATGGACGAATTTTGGCGGCCCGAAGCTCCTCACCGGAGCCTTGCTCACCGGTACTTTTGATGTATTGAAAAAGGGGGAGAGAAAGAAGGGCGGGTGAGCAACGTAAGTGCTAGCAGCTGCAGCGGCTGTATGATGCCACGACCGGGACGAGGCTTGCGTGACGAATGTCGGACGACGTAGACACTTGATGGCTGTGCAGGACGAGAGAGAACAATGGCGACGGGACACAAGACGCGGGTTATATGATAAAGAAGCGGGTTCGCTGTCCCTGGGAGCGTTTTCGCTGTTGTGGTTGTGTAAGGCGGTGCAAGGCGGCTCCGCGGCTAGGGGCGTCTTGGAAGGAGGCAGAAAGGGAACCAAACGAGTGACGGCGGCTGAATGATGGCAGGGAGACAGGAAGTCTACGGTCCAACAAGCGAGAGAAAGTCGGAGGCTGAGCAGGTGAAGAGACGGCGGCGGTGTGAGCGAGAGAAAGCAGTTGAAAACGAGAGAGCGAAAAGAGAGCGAGCGAGAGGATGCAGGACGAGCACCAGAAGCACGAAGCATATCTAGGCCCAAAGAAAACGAGATGCGCGATAGAACGAATCAAAATGCGCAGTTCAGCGGCTTGGCGGAGCCGCCTTTTTTTTTCGAGGTGAATATTAACACAACGGCCGTCCAAGGAACGAAAGCGACAACTAGTCAATTAGTGCGTAGGGAGAGAGAGCAAGTTCTTTCTTCTTCTCTTCCTTCTTCCGCTGTGGGTGGACTCTTCTCTTCTCTTCTCTCTCTTTTTTTCTTTTCTCTCTCTCGCTTTTCGGGCGCAGATATAACTAACTAGTCTGTGGCTGGAGGCTGGCTAACAAACCGGCTCTAACTCTGATTGTAAATATTAGACTATAGACTACGTCTTGCCCATGGTTCGCTCAGGGCTGGGTCCCTGGATCCCGCCTGGCAGTGTTTTATCGCTATGGAGCAGCCATGGACAAGGTCGGAAAAGGAGAAAAACCGCCTATTGTGGCTCAGCGGGCGGCTGGCGCCAGGAGGGCTCCCGGGAGGAACGAGCTGAGAAAAGGCTGGCCGTGGCAGTTACGTATTCAATAGTGACGTTGTCCCGGGCCCCTGGTCCTCCCTGGCTCGCCGTAAGATTAGTTGTTTATTATTTTGTCTCGACTCCATCGTGTCTTGAGATTGCATGGTGTATTATTAGGGCGGCAGCTCCGTGTGTTATGTATGTGCCGGATCCCTGCGACGAAGGTGAGGGAGGAGGAGGTAAGTCCAAATGCCGAAACATGACGCTGATCAGAGCTGAAGGGCTGAAGGACAAGCTGAAGACAAACAAGAGCCAACTAGCTGGGTAGCATCTGTCCGCTGCCGTCCCGAAGCTGGCGAAATTTGATAGCTCAAAAGGCTGAATAAAAGAAAAAAAAAAAGTCGGCATCGGCGACTTCACCATCACGTGACCCGTCCACACAAAAACGTCCAGAAAAAAAGCTTCAGCTTCGACTTTTCTTCTTCTTCTTCTTTTGATCAAGCATCGTCCTCGCCAAAGCTGCGTTTCTTTGCTACACTCGCCAGTTCACGCTGGAATTTAACACTTGCAAATGAGAAATTCGGAGTACTCTTCACCTTTCAACCAGCTTCTGCACGTCTACAGTGAGGAAGCTCGGTACTGCCCGTAAGGGTCTGGCATGAAAAGTGTCTGCAACCAGGCATAAGAAACATCGGGGGCAAAAGGGTGCGGATGGGCGGCCTGGGAGAAATCCCGGGGCTTCCTTTTCTGCATTCTTTTACCCCCTTGGGAGAGCCGTTGCGAAGATTGTGTGTGTCTTCCTTCGGGGAGATGCGACACCTAAGTGCAATACGCAGCGTATCAGGGCTTCCTCGATTCAGAGGGAGCCAGGGTATCATTCGATTCCGATTACTCTGGCGAGGACGATGCTTCACCTTTCTTTTCCCCCCAGGTATGCAAATTTTTCACTTCCAGGTTTTTGATCATACGTGCTAACGTGCTGTTTATATGAACCTAACGCATAGGTAAGCCAACCGTGCACTTCGGGAGTGTTGGGATAAAAGGTGAGTCATTCCGCTACCCGACGGTAAGACTGTAGAATTATAGAATCTATAGATAGAATGGCAATATAATAAGTATTGGATATTTAATCTTATTTTTCTCGGGTAATTTCAATAAACTACCACCGTGCCACGAGGTCTAAACTAAAAAGGGGAGCTTTTACTGAATTGTACGCTTCATTATTTAATCCTCATCATGTCGAAGGGTGAAAAAGAAAATATTCCCCTGGTTGGCCAGTGGGAAGTTACAAAAAAGACATCATTTATTCGTCCTCGCCAATCTGTCAGGGGAGTTAGCATGGTTGACGTTTTTGCCAATAAGATAGATAGTTAATGAGCTTACCTTTGGAGCAAGATAGAACCGTACATAGCCAGATCCATCGAGGGTATATTCAACAAGCAGAGGAACCTCAGCAGAGAGAGAGAGTCGCACTTTTGACGAAAGGCTGGTTGCCTTGCAGAAGTTTAGGAGGTATTTGATGGAGAATGTAAGGGCAACGGGCTCAGTCAGGGTGATGGCGACGTTCTGCTCGGGCTTGTCGACGTTGGTGTTCTGGCGAATAGTAACTGCACCGTTACCGATTTCACCCTGGCAAGAAAATCGAACACCGTCCTTGCTTGCCTCGATCAACACTATACACCAATTAGCACCCTCATATAACCCTGCCTAGACATCAACCTGTAAGGCCTCGGTGGTGCTACATACCAGACTCAGAAAGCTGGTTCAAGTCTCCGCAAATTCGTCTAAACTCGGCAGAAGGCATCTCAACCGTAGCGGAATAGTCCGTCTCTGGAATAGCAAGATGCTCCTGGTCAATGTCCATGAGCTTGATATCATATTCGCTGACACGGTCCTTCTCAACACTCTCAAACAACAGGTTGACTACATCAGGCGTATCGTCGGCCTTGAGGGTGAGTACGTCTCCATCCTGAGCGGCTCGTAGAACCTTGGTGAGGGAAACCAGGTTGATTCCCAGGGCGACATTGCGGTCACATCTGAAGGGGGAGAAGCCCTCTGCTTTCAACATCATGGAGACAAGCGCAACGTGGGAGTTGTCCATAGCCTGGAGGGCGATGCCAGAGTCATTGCAGTCGAAGTTGCAGTCGTGTACGAGATCTTTTACCGCATCGACTACCTGTTTGATGGTATCGTGGTCAGCGACAGTTTGTCTTTACTCTCTGTTCTCTAGCGATATACCTTCTTCAGCATAGAAGCCTGTTCCATGCGTGCTTCCAACACTGCATAGAGAGTGATCCGTTAGTTTCCATTGCTCCTTCACCGCTGACTGGCCGGGGTAACGCACTCTTGACTGATTTATATCGATGAGCCGCTTAACAGGGTGTAATGTATGGCGGGGTAGGAGGAGTGACGAAGCAGAGAGGGCTGGAACGATATAATGCGTTAAGGCTAGCTGGGTAGTAGAGCCGTTTAGCCAAAGACTTTTGAGCGTATGGTATTTGGTTGAGTATTCAAAGTATCCAAGACGACGGCGGATGGTGTTCCTGAAGCCAGAGAAACCCGGTGGTGCTTTTTTTCCTTTGGTGTGCGATGAAAGTGCGCGTCGCGTGTCACGAAACCAATTTAGCTCGACTTTCGCGTTCTTCGTAGCAGCCATTAGAGACTAGAAGCGACCTGCAAGATATAAAGACGAGTAAATAGGAGAGCAAGGAGATAGCTACCATCATAACTCCATTAAGTCATTACTTGAGGACTCTCTGTATATACACATATTATATATGGATAGATATAGTACATACTAGGGCGACGCGGGTACCAGGAAATCATCACATCTATATAAAGGGGTGCCAGGAAATACACAAAAGGAAGAAAGCCAGCCATCAACGCCCAAGTATAGAAGATCCGGATATAAAGACGAAAAGAAAAAAAGAGATGAAAAGTAAACGAAGGTCAAGGGACTAGAGACTAGAAACTCTTGCGCCGCCCTTGTTAGGACGAAGCTTGATCACCGTCTCAAGTTCTTTCAGCATATGCGTATTCGCATCTGCTCTCTCCCGAGCGACGGCCTGGCGGGCCCGGTCTTCTTTCATACGCGCAATTCGTTCCACGCGAGTCAACGAGCTTCGGGTTCGAGGCATGGCAATGGCTTCAAAAACCTCGTCGTCATCCATGTTGCTATCCGGGTTGAGATTTGTTTGCATCTCTCCGTTCAGTGCCCGCAGGGCATCGGCCGGACCACCGTCAACAGCGGTGCTGCCTCCAATACTGAAAGTTGGTGAAGATGGTGACTTGATCATGCTCGATGTGCGTCGAGAAGAAGAGGAGTAGCGATCGGATGTCTCGATGTTGGCTCGCATGGCGGATTTGCCGGCTTCCCATTCTTGGAGTATCCCGCGCAGTTCAGCGCCGATAGCCTCATACTGGGCTAGGAGAGTTGAGCCGAGGTCTACGTCTTCGTTGGATCCATCGAGACAGGCATCTGACTCTTCGCGGATAAGTTGCATCCTGGCATGAAGTCCTCGTATGCCTTGAGATAACGAGTTTAGCCGTCGAAGCTGGGCTCGATAGCGGTCCTTGTTGGGGTTCGGGTTCGGGTTCGTAATAGGAGATGAAGAAATTATGTCTCCTATATATAAAGTTAGATTGGACATGTAGAGCAAGGGTGGGAATGGAGGCGTACGGTCTTGTTCATTGAGGACATCTCTCAATTTCTCGATCCATTCAGCGCTGGCGTCAGCCAGGCTATGCATCTCCTCGGTCGCAGCATTCCATCTTGCAATATCTGCTTCACCTCCGTCCGCCGGAAGTGCAAGGAGACAACAAAGGGCGCTCTTTCTCACGGTATAGAGCCTAGCAAATAACGACCGCAGGGATCTCAGGGATGTCTTTTCATCGACAGACTGGTCGACCACCGTTGATTCGGCAGCCTGGAGTTCCACCAGGGAAAGCTCATATATGTCGTAATATTTTTCCAGGTTCGCATCATCTACGAGTGGCCGTAATTTTCGTTTCACATAGAGATATTTCTCCAGCATCTCTTCCAGGCATTTAGCCAGGATGCGTCGGAGTTTTAGGCATCTCCGAGTTTGCGACCGTTCCTCCAACCGGCTCACTGGCGGAAGCGGCGAGCTCCTATTTAGTAGGTCATGTCAGTTACGTATATTCATATAGACAAAGGGATGCTCCTTACACTCTATATCCACGTGAAACAAGCTCGACTTCCTGTATGAGCACTACGGATGCTGAAGCCGCAGAATCAAGTGTCTGCGCATTCCCAACACAAGCAGTAGCAGTTTCAATAGCCTGGCTACGCAGGTACCTTAGCCACTGGCGTTTCGCAAAGACGTAGAATGCCGCTACGACAGTAGCCAGCAGAAAACCAAAAAGGACGACTGTTCCAATACTCCAGCCTATCCTGTGTATTGATCGGGCCCAGTGTAATAATAGGACGATGGAGAAGGATGCCAGGCCCGTGAATACAGCTCCTCGCACGCCGAATACGGCTGCTCTAGAGGCTGCCTTGGCCTCATCGCTCTGGACAGGGTGGCTTAAGAGGGTTGAGACGGAGGTGTATGAGGGTGCGCTGGGTTCGCTCAGCAGCTGAGACGCAATAATCGTATATCCAAACTGTTCTTTGAATCGCTCGTTGTCGGTTTTGCCTATTCTCGCACTGATGGCGGCCTTTTGCAAGCTGTTAACGTCCCGACCTTCGAGCAGATAGATAACCAACCACCCGGAACTTCCACCGATAAGGAAGCACAACTAACAGCGCAGGTATCCTGGATCCTAGCAAGAGCCTCTTGTCTACTCGACCGCTTCAGTTTCAAGGGTTCGGGGATTTTATTTCTGATGCGGTCCTGAAATTTCGGGGGCCCCTGGGGCGCGAAGTCGAGGGTCGTGGAGTCTGAGGATTCGGTATGCGGCCAGTCAACCTCCTGCGGCGTCCAGTCCTGCTCGGCTTCGCCTTCACCTGCACGTCATCTTGTATCAGCTTTCATTATTTCTTTCCGTCTGCCTGTCTTCAAACGTCCCATCCAGGCGGTTCTCTTTGCGGGGAGATGTATCTACCGACCTTCGAGGTAAGCGGCCAGCGGCGAATCTTCATAAACACAGGCCTCCATGGTCCCGCCACATCTTCCTCTTCGACGTCCTCTTCACTAACTAGTCGGTCTGGTTATCGGAGTATTGGGATATATCAGATTTATAAACACACGTCCATGAGCGCAGGAACGCAAGGGCTAATAGAAGGTTGGGTTTCGCCACGGACTCGTATAAACTTGCGCGTGAGTATCCGTCCGTAGTCGTTGGTGAATTAACTGACATCCAAAAAGTATTTAAAATATTCTCCTGGGAAAATCCCCGGGCGAGGCGAGGCGAAGGAGTACCCCCTATTTTTTCCCTTACTCCAGCAAGTGTTAAGCAGCGAGGCCAACTTGTCCCTGAAGGCGCCCCAACGCTAAGTCTATCCATGGGATTTAACTACTTATATGTATGTCCTTATAACATGGCTCTACCCATCTATCCCCTTTAACTTGCCTACATATACCACCGCCTCACCAAGGTCGCCCGGCCAGGAACAGGGCAGAGAAGAAAAAGAAGAATAAACACCTTTTTTATGCCTATTTTACACGTGGAATCACTAGTTAAACAAGGTTCTAAAACTCCGAAAATAGATCATTTTTGATGGGTTTAAACTTCGATCTGGTTGGGATTTTGATATTCGAGTAGAAAGATACGAAGAAGCGAGGATTTTTCGCCTCTCTCTATCGCGCTTTTTTTCTTTTCTTTTCTTCTTCTCGTTTTTTCCTTTTATCTTTTCCTGTTCCTGATCTGCTCGTTTCTCGATCTGTGTTGGTTCCTTGGAAGTCGCCTCTGCTAAAGATACTCCGTACTACCTCGAGTCTCAGGGCTGTGGATGTTTAGTGAAGTAGTAATATGGAGTACTCCGTAGTCAATCCATTATTGATAGCCCGTTATCGGTGCATTCATATGCTCAGCCGGAGATGAGGGTGAAACAGTGAGGACGTGTTAACGTCCATCCAACGCATAACGGACACGCTGGTGAGCTTGACTGGCTGCTTCGATTGTCAAGGCCAGTGAAAATATGGAATAGGGGATGGTAACCCCCCAGACATACTGGCTTGTTAGCTAGTTATTCGTATAGGTCGATGCTCGAGGCGATCTCCCGTGCATATTCTGGCCAGTGCGTTGGGAGATTGGATCGTAGTCATCTATGATAGTAACAACTTGTGTGGCTGCGTTGATATCAAACTATACAAGCTCGCCCTAGATGGCCAAAAGAAATGTATTTTTGCTTGCTGTAAGAGTACTGCTTCTGCACCGAAGAGTTGCCAGTCTCAATCTATCCATTCATAGACTAGCGATTGACTGTCTAGCCGGATACGCATCTCCGTTAGGGCACGTTCGTTGATAGGACCTCCAACAGCCCTAACTCCACGTCGGACATAACTACGAATCAGTTTAGCTACCTTGTCCTGACCGTTCTCTATAGCGACGTCAAGGGCGGTTTGGCCCTGTACATTTTTCAGCTCCAGATTTGGTCGAGCTCTCAGCAACTGTTCCGCAGTACTGTATGACCCGTTCAGTGCCGCCAGATGCAACGCCGTAGATCCGTCATTGCGCTGCATATCCACATCGATACCAGCAGCCAGCAGCTGAATTGCCCCGTTGGGCCTCTCATATTGGGCAACCATGTGCAGAGCGGATTGATTGGAAGAGTCCAGGTGAGATAGGTTTGCTCCATACTGAAGCAGATAGTCTATAGGGTATGGGCTTGGATCAAAACTGGAAAAAGGACCATCAAAATTATCGCACTCGTATGCCCATAGTAGTGGTGTCTTGTTCTCCAAATCGGTGACGTGGAGGCTGGTCCCGAGGTCGACAAGGGTGTCTATGGACAACACCGATCCGCCCTTAGCAGCCCAGTGAAGAGGTGTGCCACCATGCGCACACCGTACTGATATATCAGCCCCCGCGGCGACAAGGCCCTCAACTAAGGTATACCGTCCTCGTTGGGCACTCGCATGCAAGGGAGTAACACGGTCCTCGGTCGCGGTATCGGTAAAACTAACGCCAGCCTTAATAAGAGCATTCAGGACCGTGATGTTTATATCCTCATCAGTTTCGGTAAAGCCGGGATCCCCGTTTCTCAGCCCCTGCTCGATCATATCTATAATCTCCTGAGCAGTAGGGTCTCCTTCTTCATCCTCTGTGTCTTCCCAGGCATCTTCATCATCTGGAGTCATCTCAGTCCGAGCTAGCCAGTGCAATGCGTTCTCCCCAGACGGGCCTCTGGCATTCACCCGGACCCCTTTAGTCTTCAGTAGAAACAACACTATTTCCCCAAACCCTCGCTGCATAGCCTCTAAAATCAAGGGGCATTTGGAGTCCGGAGGGTCTATCTCCCTGCCTTTTTCCTGGTATAGCTTAACAAGTGTCTTTACAACAGCCAGCCTTCGCTTGTTGATTGCACATACAAGCGGCGTGGTACCTTCGCCGTCCGCTGCAAACGGATCGATCTCATCACCATGCACAAGAAGCCTTTTTATCACAGCATCGCCGCACCCGGAAGCAGCAGCAATGTGTAGAAGATTCACGCCAACCGTAGCACATATAGAACCCGGCGGTGAGACGAGCCCAACACCTCGATCCAGCAGCGGAAGAACGTACTCGTCGTCCTGGGTTAAGATATATTCCTCCAGGATCGTTCGGCCACTCAGAACAAAGTTGAAATCGACATCTTGTTCAATAGTTTTAAGGAAGAGATCTTTATCGTCTATATCAGCTGCATAAGAAAGGGTGATTATGCGTGCTCTTGGTAGCAGGATGGACGCAAGTTTTCGCGACGTAAGGGCCACACAAAAGCTATCCAGCGGATTGAGATTGTCAGATATCTGCAGTATCAGCTCTGTAGGGAGGCTGCCGAGGCCCATCTTCAACTTGTCTGTCTGAATATCGGGCTCCCCGTCGGTTTTTTTCTATCTCAAGACGCCTTGCAGACGGACACAATACTAACACCCACATACACACACACAAGACGCATGGATGCAAGTTGTGCAGAACGCCCGCCGCCAAGACCTCACGCACCACATCACCTGCCTTATTACACGGCAAATACATGTTCGCCAGGCCACTAGACCCCAGGTAGCTGTTTCTTTCTCTCAGGCTGCAGATTTTATATATATTAATGTATATAGCCCAACCCTTCTGTCAATTATCCAATTATTCCTTGCAGGAGATTAGAGGTAAAAATCAAAGACAAACAATAGGCCCCTGCATCCAAAGCGTGGTAGTGTATGGAAGTAGTGGATATATATACTGGGGAATGGATTTGTTGGAGAAGGGTGAGGGCGCGTTCACACGCTCCCTATGAACATTATACATTAAATAAATAAAATCACATTCTGGGTTCATATAACAACCGCATGGCGGTAACTCACGGCCCGGGTAAGCGTCCATTCCAGGTCAATATAATACACAGTTGAAACATTTGCCACTTTTTGCTTCGGTATCGTTAGTCTGGCGGGGAGTCCTCGAGAAGCGTTGTACATCCACGAAGGAATTCGAAAGCAGGAAAAAGCAGCCACGCGGGGAGGGCTAAAATGAGTTCGCCTCCAGCAAATAGCGGTGATAAAAGTCGAATGTTCCGGGGGGTTAAACCTGTCCTCCCGAGTTAGTTAGATATCGTTCGTTTGTAAAAGCTTATAAGCGGTGACATACCACGCCAGTTGGTTTTGTCTTGTTTAAATGAAAGAAAAAAAAGCATCGCGGAAGGCCGCATTGAAAGTCATCTCATCAAAGAGGGTTTGATTCAGCCACCCGAGGCCTATGGCTTTAGCTTTATGGGTAATTCCACCACAGGCCTCAGATGCTAGCTCAAACCCCCGTCAACGTACTGCTGTCGTCGCAGCAGGAGGATTAAGAAGCACAAGTGTGACTTCGGGTCCATTGTATATCGGATGATGTTGAATGGCCCTCGTCTTTTCTGCCCAAAAGGCCAAGGCCAGGCCCCCCAGGCTTCTCGTAACGAATCATTCTCCAGAGGAGGTATATAGATTGAAGAACTATTCGCATCTTCATCCGAGTTTCCAACTAATTGGGCTCATGTCATATCCTGACATCCATGACCGCTCATATATTCAAGTCACGTCATAGGATGAATATAAAAATACGAGAGACCAGTCATCCGTGGGGTAAATAGTGTAAACGCGGAGAATACTCTCCCGCCTATTAATTAATACATGTTAGAATGAATTTCCTATCGATAATACCGATAAAGATGAGCCGCTTGGCTTATACATACCTGAGGAAAGAAAGGCAAATCGTCATCGAGCCAACGCTGGAAGCCTCGGTCAAGAAGATCATCTATTCCCATGGCTCAAGTATCAGATCTCGTCGTAATAGGATAGCCTGTTGCATTATCCGAGGCCCAGAACTGTAAGGGCTGAGAGGCCAGGTGTCCTGCAATGCAACAGGTGGGATAGCCGGACCGTTGCGGCGGTGACGATGGTATTTCGAACCGACCCGAGTGGTAGCCTGCATCTCTTGAGCTCAGCCAGCACGGGAAATCGATCGACACCTCTCGCAGCGGCCAGTTTTGCCCCGGGATGACTGAGGGCTCATGACCTTCAGCCCTCCAGCTGGAGTTTGTCTGCAGAAGCGAACGTTGGAGGGAAGTGACAGAAAGGCGTTTTCGCCACACCAAGGGGGCAAGGGAGGATGACTAAGCAACTTTATCCAGCGGCCACTTGTTGCCCCTGGAGACCGCAAAGGGTAAACAAGGACGTGAAGATGCACAAGAGAACAACCACCGACCTCACTCCAAGCTAGACGTCCTGTTCTTCTTCGTCCTCGTCTGGATTAAGAAAATTGGAGAGAGTTGCTGTTTCTTAACAGGAATATATGAGAATAAGCTTGCAGGTTGAGACTGTTCGAAACGGTTCCCTCTGGTTGAGGAGATACGGTGAACGCGTTTGTTTGATGCAGAGGATATACGAACTCTAGAAGGCTTCCGACTTTCATCGATGAGTGATATACAAAGCCATGGAGTACCACTATCTTGACGCAACTCCTTGCCCGGTTACATGGAATCGAAATGATGCTAAAATCCCTATACTCGAGGACATCCTCGATTCATACGATGACACGGCAGATATCGATTTCATGGCCGAGCTTGGGTCATTGAACTCGCTTGCAAGAGAAAAACTGCGTCGAGCCAGAACTGCTACTGCGTTTAAGATACATGAAGATGCCGGGAGTTCAGGTGATAGCCACGGTGGACGAAAGACATTATGCAGGGAATCTTCCATGTTCTCACAGCCGGCACAACGATTTCCACGGTCGGCCAGAGCACCAGTTGGGAGGCTGTCTTCACCAAAGATGCCCATGAAGAAGCAATTGGATCAGTTCAAAGAAAATCCCCTAGATGAAAATCCTAGGCCTGTAAAATCTCCCCATGCCATGCAGAAGCCCGTGAAAGAACAAAAGACGAAGAAAGAGGGCCGTTCCATAAGAGATAAAAGGCGGAACACAATATATATTCCTCCAGAAGATGATACCACAATGGCCACCATTTTTATGGATGCATTTAGCCCCTTAAAAACACAGGATTTCGGCTGCCAGGAGCTCAGTTATATCGAAGCTCAGATCTTGAAGAAACGAAAACAGCAAAAGCCGAAATCCCCAGCTCATCAACGCCAGCCATTAGAGGTCCCGAGTAGGATTATGCAAGAATCGGTAGACCAGCCTGATGTGATGGGGAAGAATACTGGAAAGGAAAATGTCCCTCCTGGGAAACTAGAGGGCAGCATTGCCGAAGTTACTGGAAAGGAAGATGCCCTGGTAGGCTCATCAGCCCAGCCGATGAAACTTAGATCTGTCAATAGCCCTCGACCTAGGCCTTCATTATCCAAACAAAAACCACTGGAATCAAAGCCACCTGTATCAAGGGCAACACATGGCCGCAGTTCTGTACGGCGGATAACATTTCAAGATATCCGAAACCCTCAAGCCTCGCTAGCAACAAAGCAACGAAAAGAGTCAAAGGAAGAAGACCTACCCTTGAACACTACGTTATCACTTAATCCTATTCCGAAACGAAAATCACCTTCGGAGCTACTACTCTCTCTACCCTCAGCTCCAAAAATAGAGATCAAATACCCAGCACTGCTTGTAAACCTTGCAGACCCCTTGCTTCACGAGGAGACTTGGCTATCTCACCAAGAGGCAGTCATTACACAGCTTGTGAACACCCTTCTTGATACAGCAAATGGACAATGTAGCACCCAAGGCCAAAATCGCCTAAAACAGCAACTGTTCGACTTATATCAAGACACGTACTTCACGTTGCTCTCTAAGCGTGTACAAGCATCCCTTCTTTACGGTGATTTACGTGCCACAGAGGACCCTACTGGCAGAAGACGCCGACTAACAACCGATGCGCGCCTCCGTCGCGCATTCCGAAAATTTTGGACCGATACATACGACATTTTTGCCCTCCAGGCAGCGGCAGAGGTTGTCATCGGAAAAGAGGTAGGCCACAGCTTTCATGGTGGAAATCTTTCGGCCAACCCGCAAATATCTATTCACGAGGAAGACAAAGAGGCCAGCCGAGCCGTCGAGTTGTTTCTCGATGCCATGCTCATAAAGAATGAGGATATGAGTCAAGATGCTTCTACCAAGCCTAGTGAGTGCGGTGACGTGGTCAAGGGATATCACAGAACGGCCTTTCGAAGTATAATGATAATTGCTCTTTTGGATAAGGCAAGGATGGCACCTGATACAGCGTTACCACGCAACCTTTTCAAACTAGACTCGGAATACACATCATCAGCAGCAGTGATGCGGGCTTTGGGACCAGTGCTTCTTCACCCCCAGACAGATATTACCCGGCCCCTTGCTCGTCTAGATTGTTCATTGGTGTACAAGCAGCATTCGCTGGGAGAATATAATTACCACATCAATAATATTGCGGTGGATATTAGAGATGGGGTTATTCTTACCCGGTTGACCGAATTGCTCCTACTCGAGCATTTCCCTGAGAGGTTTCACACAAAAGAAAAGGAAGGACGGCCACTATCAGGCCAGCTTAGGATGCCATGTATAAGCCGGGCAAATAAGGTCCACAATGCGCGTGTCACATTATCTGCCTTGGCAAAGGATTTCCCCAGCATCGGGGCAACTATAGGTGGTATCAAGCCGGAGGATATCGTGGACGGTTACCGGGAAAAGACTATAGCCTTGCTCTGGATTATTGTTGCTAAATGGGGACTTTCAACTCTGGTTGACTGGGATGATCTCAAGGGGGAGATAGTCCGGTTGGAGAAGAAGATTAGTAGGCTCGCCCGGAAGGAAACCAGTCTTCCTCCGTGTCATGAGCAGGCAATAATGACAGACACAGCAGGATGTCATTCATCCCTACTCCACCGTTGGGCATCATGCCTAGCAAGACTGAGAGGGTTGGAGGTTTCAAACCTGACCACAAGCCTTGCTGACGGACGGGTATTCATGAGCATCCTGGATGAATATGAACAGTTCATTCGTCCTACCGATGGTAGTATCAAGGCCGATACTATGGAGGCATCAACTACAACACCACCGCCAAGCAAAGCCCGAACATCATCATCAACGAGCAATGAATCAGCCTTGAAAAGACGTCTGCTCGCGCTCGGATGCAGTAGTCAATTCGGTACGTTCCCGGCGTCTATTTTCCTTTTTACCCCTTTTCCCCCCTTCCCTTATAATATTTTCCGTCAATGTCGATATTCATGGGGTGCTTACAAAATAATTGGCGGGTTAGTAGCACTTATATCCCAGCGATCAACATCGCCATCGTCATCCTTGATATCAGCAGCACAGGCACCCCCATCTTCATCCACCCACACCCACACCACCACTGAAGAAGACTCCAACATGACAGCGCTTGCATTCCTGAGTTCCCGACTCCTCTCGGCATCTAAATACGGTCGGGCAGCGGTGACGATCCAACGCGCATGGCGTCATATGCTTGCCACCAGGCCTGTCATTGACGGGCAGCAGAAGCGCTAAACTAAAGGGGTAGGGGAGGCACTCCGGGACTTAACGTCCGCATCCGCTTATTTTATTAATACTCGTAAAGTCAAGAAGCGTGCGGGGGTAACTAGCGATGCTTAATTGTGAGATATGCTACCTGTTCATCTGATTGAACGGCTGTCTTGGGTGCGGGTGTTGGAGTACGGGAAGGTTTCATGATGAAGGGACAATATATGTTTCGTTTTTCCTCCCGTCTGTTCAGGTTTAGAAATAACTCTGGGGTAGGGGTAGGATACATCTAATTGAGTATGAATATCATTGTTTCACGGGTCGGGAGCTTGGTTAGCACTCATTTCCTGACCTAGAACATGTATATGAGGACAGCTTATTTATGCGGTGTATGGGATAGATGTACTCTTTTAGAGCTGAAGCGCTAATTTGTTTTAATCTTAATACCCCTTCTTTTGCATGTGCTTCTTAACGAGTCGACCCTACCAGTGAGTTGGACGAAGGAAGAAAGGCAGAAACAGACAACACCCTTCTTTCCCCCTTCTATCCCCGTTTCTTTTTCACATCCCATACCCTTAACTCTCCCTTCTTTTTTATTGTTGTTGTCGCTGAGTCTGTTTTGTTTTTTTGCCTGTCCCTTCGGAAATCTGTCCGGTGTCTCTTGGGGATTCGGCACTTACAATCGCCTTGATTACCCTGCCAATTGCGACGCCCGTTGCCCCATGGCACATTCCATCGCGATACGGACTTGTACGAATGCCTTGCGCAGCCATCTCTGAGCGAGTGGTGAGAGGGCTGTGGTCAGCCAAGTGAAGCACCTGAATGCATCTCAGCCTTGGCTCCATGCTGATCTGGTGAATGACAGGCGTAGGATATTCCCGCATAGCTCTGCTCCGTCCAAATCAGCGGTCGCAGGGCAGGCAGAGGAAGCCAGCCTGAGCGAACAGTCGACACGTGATGGCATGGGCCTTGACGCTGGCCCAGTAAGACGGTCAGGAAGTTATGAAACTGGCGTCGTTGATCTGCAGGAGACCATGCGCATTGACGTTGGGAGGTTGCTCCTTTGAAGGACAGGAGGAAGATATGTATAGCTGTGGAAAAACGCCGATGATATAGTTATAATTGATGGCGAATGCCGATTTATTTTGTTTTTTATTTATGGGGACGAATCGAAGAAGTTATTGTTGATGTTTCTTTTAAACGAAGTTGTCTGATCGGGGGAAGTCCATCCGGACGTTCGGGCAAGCCACAAGACGAGCCGCGTTTCGAAAAGGAAAGAAAAGAAAGGCGATTTCTTCTGTTGCTTCGCTTTGCTTATTCGGCTTGTCCAGGTTCTTGTTACTCCTTCTGCTGCTTCTTCGCTTCTGCAGTGTTCCCCAACTCCTGGTTCGATAAGAGACGGCATTATCGGATATAACTGCTGTACAGACACTAGTGCGTCTGCCACACCGACTAATGAGCGTCCTCCGGTTTAGGGATTTGGTCTTCCGCTGTACCTAGCAGAGTCGGCATCTGTGTATGGACAACAAGTACGGAGTCGAATGCAACGCCCCGCACTGTCAAATCGCAGCCGTAAAGTGCGGGAAAGGCCCCTCTCTGTCGCCCCGGAATAGTACGTACGGGGCGTACTCCGTACTCTTCGTCTGAGTTGGTCAGATATATACATCGAATTGGCTGTATATGTTAATTAAAATCGCAGGTGGTTCTCGTGGTTCCACATGGTAGCCCCATCAAACAGCAGACAACAAGCCGGCCAAGGGTCATCAAGCCGTGGACGAGACGGGGAAGCCAAGGCGAGTTTAGTTGTTCAATTCAGTGCATTCTGCATCTTGCAGGTTCTCCATCGAAAAAAGCAAGCCACAGCCAAGCAGCACATCAGATTGAAGTCAAGACGGAGCCAAGATGCACGTAGCAGCATGATTTCATGATTTCCTTCCCTCCAAGCCAGGAGTGCTGGTCGTCTTCGTAATATACTCAGCCGGCTTCATGTAAATAAACAGAACGTGCAGCAGTAGTATAACTCGGTGGTCGACGCAGTGAGCCTGCCTGCCCTCCATCTGCCGCCTGGTCCTCTGCCCTTGTCCTGCCGATGGAACAGACGTAGGGATCAAGCTTCCCAACCGGAAGGGCGCACAGCAGGCCCCGGCAACCATGCCCGTCGAGCCAGGGTGTCCCATCACATCGTCATCGAGCCGTCCCCAGTTTTCCTAAGCGAACGAGAGGACGACGGGAGAAGCTGCTCACTTTCGTCGCCGTATCGAGTGACCTTGCGTGTGTACTAAATATGTACGTATCCAGCGTGGGAGCCAGGACTGCACGGCCTGATCAGCGTCGTTATCTGTCTGTTAGTCGTTGTACCATCTACATGTAGAGCTCTGACTTACCATCATCACAACTACAACTTCACCAACATCAATATCAATATCAATATCACATCAACATCAACATCAATCTCTTCTTCGCCATCATCAACTTCTTAATCATCATCAACTTCTTCGTCATCGACTTCGACTTCAACATCAACTCCGGCTCGCCCAAAGCGGTAAAGCGTCCCGCTAACCTTTCTCGGAATCTTTCTTCTTCCTCCGCGAACTTTTTTTCTTTTTCTTCTTCTTTTCTTTCTTTTTTTTTCGCTTTTTAGTTCTTTTTTTTCCTCCTTCGCACTTCAACTTCTCTTCCTCGACCTCCAACTTCACCTTCGACCACCTCCAACGCAACGTCGACCTCACCAGCCAACGACATCTCCAGCACAGAGAAAAGAAAAGAAGGGCTGCGGAAAGCGTCTCGGATCAGCAGAGGCAGAAGGCTGTCGGCTTGCCGTTGCACGTTGCTTCTTTCGCCGCACCACACGTCTACTTAAACGACCGACCGGTCCCTTACAGCGGAAGCACCCACGACCTTCGACCTCGACCTCGAACCCCAGAACAAGGCGCCACAGGCCGGCAGACCAGAGTCACAGACAAGCCGGAGTCCAGAGACAGAATCAAAAGGGGACAGACAGGCAGGCAGGCAGATCGAGCGTCCTACAGCGACCGAATCTAGGCCTTTGTATCACCAGAGAAGCAAAACACCGGACGACGCCAGCTTCACTTCCTGCTGGTCCACCGCATACATACATACACGCATACAGACTACTTCGGGGGCGAGACGCCTGCTTGGCGTGTTCTCAACTTTTCCATATCGACCCAGTGGCCGGCCTCGTCTCTCGAGCATCGACGCCTGTACATCATGGTGGTTCATTTATGACACAACGTTTGTCCTGATGGACATTTGCGTCTCGCACCTTTTCACTACACAAACTGAACACTGCCGCTGGTAGAGACAACAGCTGCCTTTCACTAGCTATCGTCAGCTCCGTACCGGAAGTACCACTGCTATATTTACACCTTTTCCTTTTACTTCACGTTGGCTTTTTGATTTATAAACACGCTATTACCTTCTTCATCTTTCTTTTTTCGCCTTCTTCCTCGAAGAAAGAGAGAATAATGGCAGACACCGTCATGCCTATCATTTCACAAACGCCTAACATGGCGCCAACCGACGAAGACGAGGCTGCTGCAGAGTGTGATGAGCCTCCAGGTTGTCGAGTCAGAGGCACTACCGTCAGATCCCATTCCCACGAACACGCCCCGACCTCCAACAGCAAGTCCTCCATCAGCGTCAACACCTCCAGACCCAAACTCGCAAAGGAGTCACTCCTCACTCGAGCCCTGCTCAGCAGCCCCGAGCTCTCCCCGGCTGATCGTCCAGCTTCCGGCATTACCTGGAGAAACGTCCCGGCTTTCTCTATCAACCCTAACCACAGCGGCCCTTCAACTGCCGAACTCACCAGTGACGGTGAGATGACCACTCCTCCTCGATCGACCACGCCTTCACCACCTCCTCCAACACAGTTCACCCGTCCTCCATGGGTTACCGCCGAACCTACCTCTAAACCCGTCTCTCCAGTTGATGAACACGAGTTGAAGCTGGAAGCTAACTTGGGCCGCAAACGATGCATTACCTTTGCCTGTGCCAGCAAGATTGATCCTGTCGAACATACCCAGAGTGAGCCCATGGCTGCAGAGCCTCCCAAGCGGAAATCGACAATTAAGTTTGCCTGCCCTGCCAGACCACGAGACGTGGATGTCGATATCAAGGCCCAGCAACACTCTTCGAGAAAACCTTCTGCCGGTACTCGGGGCAGCCGATCACCTGCTCCCATGAGTTTACAATCCAGGTACAAGGCCAAATCCCTCGAACTATCCCAGACACCGGGACCGAAACCCTTTGAGCCCTCAGCTACGACTGGTTCGTTGAAGGTGACTGGGCTAGGGAAGTTTGAGTTGTCCGACGCCACCCGATTCCAGGAATTCGGAAGCTCTCTGGAGGATGAAGATTGGCTGAACGAATCATCGGATTACAAACAGAAGATGACTGTGAATGACTGTATGCGCAAGGAGAATGTTATTCGCAAGTTGGGGGAGGAAGTTGAGGCTGAAGCGCAGGAAGAGGCGGAGGAAGCAGAGAATGACGACGACGACGATGAGAATGATGATGATGAGGAGGAGGATGATGAGAACAACGGCGATGAAGATGAAGATGAAGATGATGAAGACGAGGACGAGGACGAGGACGAGGATGAAGAAGATGAGGATGATGGAAACCAAGACTTGTCGGATGATGGAAATGAGACAGACAATGAAGCAGGATTTGGTTCTTCGGATGATGACGGGGAATCAGACTATGCATTCTGGACTCCCATCACCACCGCAGCGACCTCGCACTCCGACATCACCGTTATGCCACCGCCCATGAAGTGGAAAGAGTCTCACGGATCCATCGAATCTCTCGCCAGCCCCAGCCCGCTGGACACCGCTCCTCGCTTTGAGCCAAAGCGTGCTGCCCTTGCCAAGGAGAAGAAGCCAAAGTCGACCGCTCCCAGCCTTCCTGACAGTACCGACTTTGTCTGTGGAACCCTGGATGAAGACCGCTCCATCGAGGTCGCCTACATCTCCCATATGGAGGAGCGTCGACGCCAGAAACATATTCCCATCCCTCAGGACATCGATCCCAGCTTCCCTACCTCTGACATCGAGGATGAGGACGACGATGATGCCGACGATGACGTGTCTGCCAACCCAACAGCTACTCGCAAACAACAGGCCAACGACGACGACTCTGCCGAGCCGCCTCGCGGACGTCGATCCAGCCGAACAACTATCGAGAAGACTTCAAAGGCAGTAGCACACTCCCCTCGCAAACTTTTTGGGCACTCTCCTCGTCGCCTCCGCTCCCCTCCACCGCCTGCCCGTCTACGCTCTCCGCCTCCTTCTCGCCGAACATCTCTCATCAACCCTCCAAATATTGGTACCGGTCCTGCAGCAAAAAGGATAGCAATCGCCCTTGCTCAACGACCAAACCGCACCCGTACTTCTTCTCTTCCACGAACACCTAACCCCTTCTTCGCCCGTGGCTACTCTTCCAACATCTACAAACGCACCTCTCGCTCCCCATCTCCCTGCCCAAAGGCATCCACCAAAACCAAAACCAGTCCCACCCACACCCGTGGACCAATCGACATTGTTGCTGGCCTTGAGAAGAAAAGACAAAAGCGCAAAGAGAAATTCTGGCGCCAACACTGTCGCCGTGCTGCAAAGGACCAAATCAACTCGCGTGACAAGATGGTCCCCGGCCAAGGCGCAGAGCGGATGAAAGAGCTTGGCATCGAAGTCGCTGAGAGATTCAGGGCTTACGGTGTCGGTGTCAACGGTGGAAACGGACCAAAACTCGTCCTCTCGATATAAACGCATTATCGTCATCTCCCTCCCTCTCTCCCGCCTTAACTCCTTTTATCTACTTCACGCCACTGAAATGGGCATGAACAAACGAACCATTAACGACCAACCAAAAGTTAAGAGGTGTTTTTCTATTTTCCTTTTTCTCTCTAGCCCTCGAAGACAAGAATTGACTTCTTCCTATTCCTTTCGTCTCTTGATTATTTCTCATATTTATTTATACTTCATGCTGGATGCTTGATCATTTTCCTATTGCGCAGATCGCAGTGAATACAGCTTCATGATATCCCAGCTTGACATGACTTGGCTCAACTGTTTCAGCTAGCATTTGTTTATCCTTTTTCTTATCATTTTCCTCCCTTCTTCCATTCTTCCTACCATTCTTCATGTCAATACTTTTATCTCTTTTAACTCAACTATTTCCATTCTTCTTACCTTCTCTTCTACTACTACTTCTTTTGCTCTCTCATACTTTACTTATCTCACTCTGCTCTGCATTCTTCTCTATCTATCTCTTTCTACTGTATATACATATACCTGTCTTTTAGCTCTCTCGCTCGTTGTACCGACCGAGACTGGAGTTGAATCCTCCCAGCTGGGGTTGGTCCTCTGTTTAAATTGCATCTTTCTTACTAGATTAGGCGGGGGGTCTCCTTTATATGCTGTTGCTGTTACTACATACCATGCCATGATAACGACTGAATGAAATGACATCATTATTATAATCTACCATATCTACCATATACATCTACGTCTTCCGTCTTCCATCTTCCTCCCAAGGTCAAGTCATCTCCGTCATTTGCCTTACGTGTTTTCCCATTATAGCGCCTCCACGTGACTGGTCTTCTTAACACATCTGCCGTACCAAAAAACCAAAGAAACAGCCAACCTCGAATTTCTTCCCTGCAACAGCTTTGCGCATCTTCGACCGGACACCATCGCACGTCTATCGCACTTCACCACGCTTCACTCGGCTGACACTTCACTGCCGCTGCCCAAGGGACACTCGTTGACCCAGCTATCTCCGTAAAAACAGAGGGTATAGGCACCTCTACACCCGGGAAGCTTCCCTTCGCCTTACATCCTCCCGTTCACACAAAGACATTCAATACTACTTCCACCTTGCACTGAGAGAGCTTTCTCCCGGCCACCATGTGGATTATCAACTGGTGTACGTACTCCATCTTTCCTTTTGTGCGTTTAAGCCGCTACATCTTCGTCGTTTCATGGGCCCCGCCGGGGCACAGAAGCGCACGGAGCCAGCGAGACGAACAAATCCCGTCCCCAAAACCTGTGAACACGTAGGCTGATTCGACTTACTGTAGTCTACGATGTCCTCGCCTCGCTCGGCCTGCTCAACAAGCATGCCAAACTACTTTTCCTCGGTCTCGATAATGCCGGAAAAACCACTCTTCTGCACATGTTGAAGAACGACCGGGTTGCTTTGATGCAGCCGACTTCACACCCAAGTACGTACGCCTTCACGTTTTCAACCTTAGATACCACATAGTAGTAGAGTTAGAGATCAGCAGGCTAATGTATGCATAAAACAGCCTCTGAAGAGCTCGCCATCGGCAACAACAGATTCACCACCTTCGATTTGGGCGGTCACTTGCAGGCTCGTCGTCTGTGGAGAGACTACTTCCCCGAGGTCAACGGGATCGTTTTCCTCGTCGACTCGATGGACGTCGAGCGTTTCCCGGAAGCCAAGGCCGAGCTCGACGCTCTTCTCAACATGGAAGATCTAGCTAAGGTCCCGTTCCTTGTTCTCGGAAATAAGATCGACCACCCCTCTGCTGTCTCTGAGGACCAGCTTAGAGCCGCCTTGGGTCTTTATCAGACTACCGGTAAGGGCAAGGTGCCGTTGGAGGGCATCAGGCCCATCGAGCTGTTCATGTGCAGTGTCGTGATGAGACAGGGTAAGTTCATGATCTGCCTTTTCTACAGCCCTACTCTACCCTACTATACTCTACTCTACAATGCTTGGGCCACGTGCTAATAAACCCGTTCGTGTTATCAGGCTACGGTGAAGGTATCCGATGGATGTCGCAATACGTCTAGATATCGAAAGAAACGAAAAATAAAGAAACCAAACCAAACCAAACCACGCTTTTGCTTCTGCCGTCTTGTCTAAAATGGGAATGAATCGTCGAATGCATGTAACCTCCTTTTTCTGTTTCCAAACATATCATGCGATCAATTTACCCTACCACAGCATGAATGACAGTGAGTTATAGCCTGTAGGTCGGATGGAGCGGTAGAAAACATCTCCACCCGTCCATCTAACCACCTGCTTGCTCACTTACTTACCTACTGGCTTGACTGAACTCCCCTTCTCCCACTCACCCGCCTCCCTTCCCCCCGTTCAAATGTCTCTTAATTAATTTCTATTATGAATCCGTCCAGCAAATCATAGCTTCTTTTGATGATTTTTATTTTCTTGCTTTCTTTTCCTATCCGTTTTTACTTTCCTTCCTCTCGTGTTCACATACATAGCTATCTTTATATAAATAGGCTCGCGGCTCTCTTATATACCTCATAAACAAACCCTATACCTACCTACACGAGTGGATTTGGGCAGATCTACAACTACAACTACAGTTACGGATGGAACTCGAGCTTGGGATGGGTCAAACGTATATTATTCGGTCGGTTCATTAGGCAAACGACAACGACAAAAACAACAACAGACATAAAATAGGGAAACTGAGCAAAGGAGATACAAAAAGGAAAGAGAAAGGCGCAATCACACCACTCGCTCCCCGCAAGCTATCATTCCTTTCTTCCAAACGAGAACGAGCAAGTAAAGAGAGAGAGACGAGACCAGGGACAGATGAGAAAGTTGACGTCGACGCCGTTCGGAAAGGGGTGCAGCAGATGAAACTGGTGAGAAAGGAGGCAGGCAGATAAAGGGAGGAAAGTTGAAAAGAGCAGTGGGTAAGCGAGCAAGCAAGCAGAGAGCAGCAAGTGAAGAAGTGAATTATCCACGCTACTAGCTACTAATATACTGGAGCTGAAAACTACCAACTTCTTTTCCTTACGCCACCTCGAGGGGACAGAAAACAGAGAATGTCATTAAGCTGCCATGCCATGCCACCTGACTGACTTGAAAGCAGAAGAGGAAACCAACAGAGGTAGAGGAGAAAGGAATTTCGCGAAGGTAGTTCGTCAGGGTAAAGTACGTAGTTCCGATCCGTTCACTGCAGCGCTTCATACAATCGTACACGGAAGATATATTGTAGGCAAAAAAAAAGTAGAAGAGAAGAAGAACAAGGAAGTATTCTGAAAAGAAGTGAAGATGGAGGCGAATCGGCGCTGGTGCGGTCTGAGCTGGTCTCGTTCTAGCTCGGTCGGATGGGGATGGGGATGGGAGAGGCGGGGAGGAAGAGAGAGTGAGTGTGCGTGAGAGAGAGGGAGGTATGGTCGGTGGCGCGAATTCTGACAATCAATCGGACGCGAGATCAGGCCGGATGCTGATGTTCGCTTGCATGAGCGAATAGTGTCTTGGCGGCGTGTACATATACGGATATGCAAATGAATTGGTTGTTGAGAATGCAGTGGTGTATCGGTGGTAAATGGTAGGTCTGGGTATAGTGTCGATTAATCGAGTGGGTTGGTGGTGGATGGTCGTCGTCGTCGGTGGTGATGATGAGTGATGGCGCGTATTATCTCCGCCCGAACCTGCTATATGAGGGAAAGCTCGTATGTTTTCTCTTGTTTACTTTTTCTTCTGTTTCCTTGGAGGAGTGATGGGTCTGTTAGGTGCCATGCCTCCGTAGACGTACTTTTGTTTCTTTTCGGCTGGTTTCAGGATCTACAGATGTGCAAAGTTAGCAGTGGTAAAAAAAAAAAAGGGAGATAGTTAGATGAGCGGGGTGAGAGCATACCTGGAACGAACAGAGAAGGCTCTCGTCTACACTCATCATAGCTCCGGCGTTGTCGAATTCTCCGCAGTAGTTTGGTGCGCTGAAGAGCGTGACCAGCTGCCGCTTTGAGAAGAACTCGTAGCCATCCTCGACTACTTGGTGCGCTCGACAGATGAGGTCCATGTCATGTTTCTGCAGGAACCGCGAGACGACGTCGGGGCCAAATGTGAAGGATACACCTCGGTCGTTTTCGCTCCAGCCGGTTATGTCCTTGTCAGGGTCCGACCAGAGGAGATCGCAGAGGAGACCGCAGTCGGGGATCTAGATAAATCAGCAGGGTCAATCGTCGACAGTTCACACTGACGCCATGCATAAAACAATAAAACAATTAAAGCAGAGTATTTGCATCCAGAAACGGAATGCCCGGAGGGGAGAGAATGGTAAAAAGGGCAAGGGTGAGAGTTGAAGAAATTGTCCTCCGGGCATCCGAACGGATGCATGCATATCCAAGTTAATCGTCACACGAACGAGGGGGGTTGGAGGGCCAGACTTACATCTGTTGGACGCATGACACGACGAATCTGTTCCATGGAGTTAAGGTCAGGGCTGAGACCACCGTGCATGGTGAAGATCTTCTCATCGATGATGGCGGCAATTGGGAGACAGTTGAAGCAGTCGGTGAAGGTCTTCCAGAGCTTGATGTTGTATCTTCGCTTGCACTCATCGTAGAAGCCGTAGATACGGTTGATGGAGGCGCACTCGTGGTTGCCACGGAGAACGAAGAAGTTCTCTGGGTATTTGATCTTGTATGCGAGCAATAGACAGATGGTTTCGAGAGACTGCTTGCCTCGGTCTACGTAGTCGCCTAGGAAGAGGTAGTTGGCTTCTGGTGGGAAACCTCCGTACTCGAACAGGCGCAAGAGATCGTAGTATTGGCCGTGAATATCACCACATATCTTTTTTTTTTGCGCAAAGGTTAGATAGGGTACTTTACTTTTCTTTACTTTCTCTCTTTTCTCTTCCTTTTTCTCTTTTTGCGGTGCAGTGCGGAAAACGTACCTTGATCGGGGCCTCCAGCTCCAAAAGTATAGGCTGCGAAATGAAGATCTCCCTGGCCTTGGTGCAAAGATGGCGGATCTCGGACTCGAGCAGCTGGACCTGCTTTCCGGGACGGCTACCCCTCACCTCCAACAATCTATCAATGATCGAATCCAAATCGATCTCGTTTTGGTCCGCCATGGTGTGTGTTGTAGCGGGCTACCAGGACACGGGAAGAGAGAAAGCGAAAAAAAAAGAGAGAAGAAAAAAAAAGAGAAAAATGACAAGACAGAAACCTCCCAGGAGGACAGCGAAAGTGGTTCAAGTCGCGTCAGTCAGCAGTGCTCTATGTGTCGACAGGTGGTCAAACAAGGCGCGTTAAAAAGAGAAATATCTCTATCTCTCTGTATCTGCTGCCTCTGGCTGGCAAGAAGATCCTAACGAGTTGTGTGATTAATAATGATTGAACGAACGAAGAAGACAACAACGCCCAACCGGTTAAACGAACGACGGCGAGGATAGCCAACCAACCTTTTGGGACCGCTACGAAGGTCGACGTAGTAAGAACTGTCTGTCGCCGATATCAAGTAGGGCACGGAGAGGTAGGTAAGAGTAAAAAACTCAGGCCCTGATGGCCAGGTAGGATAGAGGTAGAGGTTAGAGGGAGGTTGTTGTTGTCGTCGAGGCAGACGCAGAGTGAGAGGAAAAATCGAATATCAAAACAGTTGAGATGTAACCAGGAAGAAGATGAAGAGGAACAAGAAAAAGCTATGCCTCCGCCCTTATGTTTTCTTCGTCCGTTTAAATCACCGTTTGGCCCGCTCTTGGGCTCTTCTTTTATGTATGTAGAGGCTGCGGACTCGACTCGACTCGACACCGGCGCCTAACAAGGGAGAAAGCGAAGTAGGTACACGAGAGTACCACTGAAGCCCCCGCGAGCAAGAACAAGACCAAGGCCCCAAAGAAGCTATCGGTTACTGTTTATCGATCGGGATCGGAGACGGATCGCTGGGTCGTGTTCGACGGTCGTGGGCTGCGGGTTGCGGGTTGGAAAATTTTCGTTTCAGCGAACGCAACGCGCAATCGGAAGAAGACGAAGAAGACGAAGAAGCAGAAGAAGTGGCGTGAAGTAAGCAGGCAAGGTTTTTTTCTTTTCTTTTCTTATGTTATCTCTTCAAGGAGGTTTCCTCTAGGCGAGATGGGTTAGGAGACGCGATGGAGGACGGGGATGGGGATGAGCCTGTCGCTGTCTGTCTGTCTGCCTGATGCTGTCTTGCTGCTGGCTCGTCTGGTCTTGATATCCTTAGAGGCCAAAGTCGATGTTGTTGGTTTGTTTTTGGGCGTTTTTTGGTGGTTGAAAAGAAGAAAAGGAGAAGGAAAAAAGGAAAAAGGAAAAAGCGGCTAAGGAAAAGACACAACAACAACAACAATAACAACAACAAGGATATAAGGATATAATAATAATAATAACAGGACTGCTACTAGGACTTATTATGTTACTGTCACTATTACTTGAGATATTACCGGTTTAGTTACGGAACACTTCTACTCGAGGCCAAAGATCCAACAAAAACAAGTGTTATTTTTTTCTCTCTTAGCAAGAACGAAACATCCAAACACGATAGAAGCCAGCCAAGTAAGAGAGCGAGCGAAGAAGGAAAAGAAACCACGCTATGCAAACGCCAGACCAGAGATAGAAAAGCAGAAGAAAAGCAGAAAAGCAGAAAAGACAAAAAAACAAAAACATGCCACCCAGGAAGAAAGTAATGTACAATCGGTCTAAAAGGAAGGGGGGGAATAGATAGATGATATCTAGGGATATTCGGTTATACCTCCTCCGACATGCCCGACTGTAGGTTGTGTGTGTGTTTGTTTGTGTAGTAAGTAGGGCAGCTCAGGGCTCATGGCTCAGCGTCAAGTCATCATTAGTTTGTGGTGTGGGAAAAGCAAAGAGCAGAAACGCAGGACAGACAGACAGACAGACAGGACAGGCAGGACAGATAGGTATTAGGCAGAGGCGCAGAAGGGGAGATGTATAGAGTGTATAATCAGGAAGAAAGAACAAAACATCAAAAAACGCAGAACCAAACACAGTCTTGATCTTGAAGAGGAAAAGGAAAAAGGAAAAAAGCAGCCGGAACTCCGATAAACGTGAACATGCATCCAAAGCAGAGAAAACGCAGCAAAAAAGCAGTAAAAAAGAGCAAGAACCCAAGGTGGTATAAAGCAGGAAGAAGAAAAAGACGATAGCAGAGCATTCCATCCGTCATTCGAGAGCGAGCGCGAGAAGTAAGAGAAGAGATTGATCAATATCAGTTCAAAGGCAAAAAAGGCGAGAAAAAACGAACAATGTCTCGACTGGCTTCGAGCACAAGCAATAAACAACAACTTTTTCTTCGAATCCGTTCATTCGTCATCCTGGTTCTCTCCAGAGAAGTGAAGTAGGAAAATGGGGGGGAGGAAAAAAGACGCTTTTCTATATCCGAAAAAGATAAGGGAAAACCGCAGTAAATATATAGAGGTAAAGAGGTTAAAGTCGGGGGATTGGTAGATTTCGGCTGGGAAATAGTTTCGATTTTCTGGGTTGAGTTGGTTCGGCTGGTTTGATTTCGTCCCCGGGCAGACGGCTGGTACCTGTCTGTTTGATTTGCATTTGCATTTGCATAAAATGAAAAATGATTCATATGCCTCCCAATTTTGGTATGTGTGCGCGAGTGGAATTAAGATTAATACAGTATATGCTTTGATATGTAATGTTGCGATAGTTCGCTTGCTTTGGCTGCTTCTCTCTCTCCTGGGTATAAAATATAGTTGTAAGAGCGTAGTTTTTGCATCAACCAAGAGCCCGGCCACCAGTTACGATGATCTGGCTACTTGTTCGAGCGATCGGGGGTGGAGGTCTTATTGGAGCTGCGGCGGCGTGGTGAAAATCCGGGGCCTGGGTGTGCAGGTTGATGTTCTTGGTGTTGTTGGCCCAGCCCAGGTTGTCGTCACCAAGGACAGTGAGCCAGTTCGTCCCGACTTCATGTTTGAGAGCTTCCAGACGTTGGCGGTAGATGTCCCCGCTGACGTCCCAGTCGATGTTGTCGAGGCCAGTGAAAGCGGTACGGCCTTTGGGCGTTTCAACTTCGGTGGCTGTGGTGGTGGTAGATATGGATGTGGCTGTACCCGGCTTTGGAGAGTCATCTGACGCAGGAGTTGGAGTCCTGGCAGTATGAACAGAGGCAACAGTGGTCGGAGACACTAGCGGCTCCTGCTCCTGCTGCAGCAGCATCTCTCTCGGATTTGGTTTTGGCGTTGGCAAGTCGACGAACGGATCGGGGACAGGCTGACTTCGAACCATGGAACCCTCAGGGAACTTGCTCTCCAGCTGAACAGGAGCAGGAGCAGGTGCAAGCGCAGGTGCAAGTGCAGGCATGGTAGACACGGGCACAGCAGCATGCACAGTACTACTACTACTACTTGTGGTAGTAGTGGTGTTAGTAGTAGTACTAGAAGTATCGTTGGTGCTGAGACCAACAACACGTTTCCTGTGATGCTTCTTGCGACGAGGAGAGGTCACATCTGCTGCGGCCACCGATGAACCACGAGGCTTCACCACATGCGTCTCTGGCGACAACAGCTCTTGATCCACGGCAGTAGCACCAGTACCAGCACCAGCAGCACCAGCTGCAGAGGAAACTGTGATGGGTACACCTTCAGCCTGAGAATCAGCCTGCTGTTCAAACTTTCGAATGACAGGGGCAGCTTCAGGCTCTGCAACTCGCTCGACAAGCTGCTTCCTCTCCGAGTACGACGGCCCCGTGTTGTCAATGAAGATGTCCTCGGGGTATCCGGGCGTCTGTCTGAAGAGGTTGAAGATGGTGACCCGGTGTCCTGGATGAGATTTTGTAAAGGGGTTTCCGGAAATCCAGATCTCGCGAATGTAAGGAATGGCAGTGAGCCGGGCCAGTTCCACGGGATCCGTAATGGCATTGTCACGCAGGTCAAGACGTTCGAGCGAGAGGAGGCGTTCAACGCCGGCTATCGAGCGAAGTCTGTTGCCGCGGAGGTTTAGGGAGGTTATGGCCGGCAGGGGACTGCGGGAAAGAGAGTGCAGCGAATCTATCATGCAGTGGGATAGATTCAGGGATCTGAGGGCCACGAGGGAAGCAAGGCTGTCCGGCACCTCAGTGAAGAGGTTCCAGGACAGGTCAAGGGAGTGCAAGGTATTTGCTACTGGGGCAAGACTGGCTACAGTGACACTGGTAAGGGAGTTATCCGTGAGGTTGAGATGTCTGAGGAAACGCCACTTAAAGGGGCTCAGGCATGTGTTATTGCAGTTGTTGTTCCCGGCGGATGCCGCAGTGGAGGTGGAGGCCATCATGTTGGAGATGCCACGGTCACGGTGGAAGAAAGTGGAAAAGGACTCGCCAGAGTCAGAGCTACCTGAGCCAGATCTTTTCATCTTGGAGGACTGGCCTCGATGATGACCATGGTGATGGTGGTGACGGTGGCTGGATCCAGGCTTGTTTGAGCTGCTGGAGGGCCTTCCCGGAGAGATACTTCCAGCACGGCCGTGCTTCTTCCTGCTACCGCCTGCAGCACCTTCAGACGAGTCACCTCTGAGCATGGCCGCGGAGCTTTCCTTGGGGGGACTGGCACTGGTTCCAAAGACGGTATCACCAAGGGGGGATCCTGGAGCAGACAGAGACTTCCCCAGCTCTGGAGCGGTGGAAGAGAAGTGGCTATGGCTATGGCTATGACTATGATGGCTACTACTAGACGGCCAACCAAGGACTGGAGAAGGCTGAGACTTGGAAGACCTCCGCCTACGCTTGTCAATGTCATCGAGTACGATCCCGGTCAGCAAGTCACCAATATCCTCTAGCTGGGCGCGCTTGAGAGTAAGCGACCTCAGCTGCTCGGCGAGCCTATCCCAGCCAAAAAAGGAGCGAAAGTCTACATCGATGATTTCCAGGGCAGAAAGGTTCTTGAAGGAATGCAAGGGCACCGCGGTATCAAAGGGGAACTCCTCGTAGCCGCTGATAAGCCTGGCACGGTGGTCCGGGGCCAGCCTAAGGCAGGGGATCTTGGTGAAGGACGAGTAGAGGTATTTGAGATCTGCTTCCAGGGCTGCCTTGGCCTTGTCTGACTTTGAAACCGAGTCCCTGGAGGTAAATGCTCCGAGGCTAAAGGAGGACCAAAACGAGCTCATGGTGGACATGACGCTGCGGACGCTGGAAACGGAATGTATCGAGTCTCTATCCCTCCACCGCTGCCTCCTGCACCGCCACGAGGCCGCTGTGGTTTGCTGAGAAAGGAAACGTAGGCAGAGGAGGTTTCGTTGTTGATGTTCTCGAGCCGGATGTTGAGCGGTCCCACGGGCACGGAGAGCTCCTCGAAGCGGGAGAGCAGGTAGAAGAGGTGGTGGGGAGTCAGGGTCAGTCTGGCAGGCCGGACGGAGTCTGAGGCGAATCCGAGTGTTCCCAGCGAGAGAGCTGCGGCGAGCGCAGAGGCAGTCGAGGTGCGTCCTGAAGCGCCATGCTGTTGCAGCAGCAGGTGGTTGTGGTTGTTATGGCCGTTGTGGTTGTTGTTGCTGTTGTTGTTGATGTTGTTGTTGTGGACGGCAGAATTTGACTGGGACGAGGAGAGGTCGACGCTTCTCGACTGCCGCCTCATCTGCATCGCATTCGCGAGGGCCTTTTCATGGGTACGGACGAACCTAGCGAGACTCTACAGAAAGGATATTTAGTTAGCTTTGACGAGGGTTCTCTTCTTCTTCCTTTTTGCCCTTGTTGTTGTTGTTGGTGTTGTTTGTTTGTTTGCTTTTGTTATGGTACCTTTATGAAGAGCTGCCCGTCCTCAGTGTTGAGTTTCTCCATGGCGAAAGAGGGAGAGGGAGAGAGGCCTCGTTAGACACTGCAGCCGGTATGTGTCTTTAAGCAGCAGCAGCAAGGGAGGCTTCTTCGCAGGCGGTTCATATAGATATCACGGGGTAGCGAGGCATGTTTGATGCTTTGCTGCGGTTGCTCACGCAACTCTTCCGATAACGAGGCCGGCGGCAAAGAGCACGACGACGAGAAGTAGAGGAGATGAGGAAGTAGAAGTAGAAAGAGAGAGAGAGAGGAAGAAGAAGAAGAGAGAAAGACGATGGAGCAAAGAAAAAGAGGAGACGACGGTTATATGTCTAACTACGAGGGCTCCTCTCTTGTGGCGAAGGTTGAGGGCAACAAGGTGGTTCCCTCAGCAGTTCACAGGGGCACAGGAGGAGCAGGCGGAAAAAAAGAAGAATAAGAAGAACAAGAGAGCGGACGGCGGACCAGCTGGTGGTGTTAGTGGTGGTGGTTATTTTTTCATGTGCAGGTTTTTTGGGTGTGGATGGTCACCAGGTCCCCCTGAAGCCGGAGGAGTGAGTAAGAGGAAAAAGGAATAGGCAGACCAGACGACCAGAGAGGAGACTGAATGATAGATGGTAGATGATGATATTTATGAGAGATAGAACAGCAGGATAAGACAGAGAGAACACATTTGACTCCAACGCTCGAACTGTTGATGCTTGATGCGTGATGTTTGATGCTTGACATGAACGGTTTTTGACTGACTTGAACGTTTGTTTTCCCTTTTCCCTGCGCCAACGGCCAGCCCAGTTAACTCGGAGGGAATGAAGGAAGAGAACAGGGTGAGTTCTCTCGGAGTAAAAGAGAAGAAGAAGAAGAAGGAGAATGTTGAAGTTGAGGTTGTTGAAGCAGCAGCAGAAGCAGCAGAAGAAGAAGAGAAAAGCGACAACTGCTCTGCCCCCCCTAACGATCCTTTTTCCACTGTCTGCTTCTATTCTCTTATGTACGGGCTTCGGCGTGGGCGTCGGCTCTGGCTTCTCATTGGGCGCTGCAGCTCGAGAGCGAGTAAAGAAAAGTGACAGGCAAAAGGCAAAAAAAGGGGGAAAAAGACGAAGGTTAGAGCGAAAGGGCGCTTAGTTAGTTAAGTTACTTTACATGGTTGGCTGGTTACAGTTATGGTTATGGGTTACTGATAAAGAGATACACAGGCAGATAGCAGATAGAAGATAGCAGATAGAAGATAGCAGATAGCAGAGATAAGATGGAAGACAGACAGAGACGGTGGCAGAGGCGAGACTGGTTGCTGCTGAGCTCTTCGACGATGTCTATCTGGTCTGTATAGGATGCATGGATGGTGTATGGATGTATGGGTGTATGGAGATCGGTTCATGATACGGAGTATTTACGTGCATCCATGCATCATCTCAATCTCGTCTCCTCGTCTCTCTCTCTCCCTTCCGATGTCAAGGCAAAAGAAAGAAGACGCAGACGAAGACAAGAAAGAAGAAAAGAAGAAAAAAGATTAGTTTAGTTTAGTTTAGTTTAGAACAGGCTTGCTTTTCCTCTCTCTCTTCTTGTCTTCTTGTCTTTTCTTCAACATCATCTTCATGTTCGTCGTTTCTTTTTCTCCCACGGTGTCCCTCGCTCGCTGCGTCGTCTCCTGCTCCCGTTTTGCGACCTGGTGGCTGGTGGCTCGGCCTGGGCGTGGACATGGACATGGACATGGAAGACAGACGATAGAGATGGACCAGAGGCTCTGTATGGAGTAGTTGGGTCACTCATCTTATGTATCACTTTTGCTGGCGTCTTCTGACTGTCTTGACTGACTGGCTCACTGACTTCGCGGTACAAGAGCATGACTTGCCTCCCCCTGATGACCATCGCCTTTCTTATTTACTTCTAATACGTCTTACTTCCTGGCCTTCTTCGCCTTCTTCTTCTGCCTTCTTTCTGCCTTTTAACTCTTGCTTTAGAGGACGCCGATGGTGGTTTCACTGCCTTCCGCCTGGCTGCAGCAGGCCAATGACAGCTTTCTCCGGCCATGCGTCTTTGGAACCTCTCATATATACATACATACTCACTGCAGAAGTACTCCTGTACTGAGTAGTTAACTGCCTCCGTACTTTACACAGAGTGTAACTCGCTTATCCACATCTTTACTTATGTACTTACTGGGAAGAACAGTCTTCCGGTAGGGACAAGGTTGATGCCCTCCCCCCTACTTTACTTTCACTTTACTTTTAGTCACTCCCTGCATCATGTACATAATGTATGTATATAGACGAAGGACAAGATGCAATTGCTTAGTGTAGGACGATAAGATAACCAGAAAGCAAGTGGTACGTATACCTAGGTAGTTAATCACTCCGTACTCAAGTTACGCTGCCTTGTCCGGTTAAAGGGTCGGCCGTCCTACCCACCCCGAGATATAACTACCACCGATTTTATATTACCCTACTCACCTAGTTTATCTCCACCTCTCCATCCATCGGACCGTCCATCGAGTCGATAACAGGCAATTGAGGGAGACAGAGAAGACTTTTTTAGTTGGAAGACATCCCACTTTAACAGCCTCATCTTCAAGTTTTTTCTTTCTATACATCGAACATCGACATCTTCTTCACCGCTCAGTCTACGCGCCACATGCAGTGACATACATACACACACACCTGCATACATACATCCTTCCTGTGTGCATGTATAAGAATGTCGACTTGCTTTTTCACCGTCTCCCTATCTCTTTTTCTTATCGATGCATATCTATCTCCTTCCAACGTCCCCAGACTAGGCATATTCCTTCCATCTCACGGCAATTGATGCATACAAGCAGAGTAACCACTTATGTATAAAGTAACCCACTCTGGCTCTATACTTGCAACCTGCTAAAGTAGCAGAGTGCTCCGTAGTGACGTCGACGACGGGGCAGCCGACCTCCTCCTCACTCTATCAAAAGTCGTCTGTCTCTGCATCTCCACTCATGGCCTCCTTCTTCCGCTGAGCAGAGCCGTAAGAGTCGCAGGTAAGTGTGGATGGGAGGAAATATGATATCGAATCAGCTTGCTTTTTTCCATCCCTCTCCTACTTACATACCTACACTAAGTAGGTATAAAGCTCGGGTTCCCTCTTTCTGCCCTTCCTAGGGTCGAACTAGCGAGTTGAGCTAGCCAGTCAAGTTCATATCGTTACTTTGGTTACGGAGTCAACCACTTTCGAGTTCATCTTAAAAAAGGGTGGGAAAAAAAAACTAGTCGTATAGGCCGGGATCCATGCATGCATATACACACACTAAAGCATCAAAGTACACAGGCTCATGCATGCATGCAGGCATCTTCCCTCCCACCTCTCTTTGCTTCTTGTCTTTTTCCTTCGTTGCTTTTTGTGGCCTCTCTCCCTTTCTCACCAGCAGCCAACAGCCCATCGAGAGCGGTCGATCTCCTGCGAACGGATATATATAACCACCGGCTGGTCAGGTTAATTCGCTTCGGAGTACGGAATAGTTACAGGTAAGGCGTTTTTTACTTCTTCCACCTTACTGATGGAAATGCACTCTAAGAAGTTATGCAGGTGTGGTGTGTGTATGTACCGGGTTTCCGTGAAGGGAAGACTGTTTACGGTCCTGAAACTACCATGATCCTAGAGCCAAAACACCATCATCACGCTTAATTATTAAGTAGATGCAGACATCGTGAGAACAGACTTGACGATGGGATGGGATGCCATGGGATGCCATGGGATGGGATGCGATAATGGATGGATGGACACGGCTATTCTCCGCCCTTCAGAAGAAATTTGTCCATCTCTACTCCACCCAGACGGAACATTCTTTGCCATATTTCTCATGACTTGCAACTTGCTCCGTATATACATACTCCGTATGCCGTCAGCGAGTTACGAGGGACCGCTATCTTCAGAGAAAGTCGCCATCGTGAAGAAAGAGAGGTGAAGGCAGCGGCTTCAACGACAACATCCCTCTCAGGGATCATCGTCCAACCTCTTACGTTGCGGGATGCCCATTCGTGATCACAGCCAAGGACTGTTACTGCGTCTTTGCTTTTTCACCCTGTGCAGCTCCTCAGGGCTCGGCGCATCGACTCTTCCTCCTATGAGAAGACGGACGCCACTGTTCAGCTAGATGTGTGTACAGCGTACGGATAGCTGAAAATCTGTCAAAGACAGACAACCACTGATGATGGAGAGACGTTGAGCCACATCCAGCTGAGATGTAGATGGAGATGAGCATGATGAACATGAGAGCTGAGGATGAAAAATGAAGTTGAAGATGATAACCAACTGATCAGTTAACTAGTTACCTAGTTACTAGTTACTTACTTATGGAGTACTTGATCGCAAGAGCTCTCGCAGATGATGCCCATGTCTCGGACTTTCTTTTCTTTTCTTCTCATGCGCTGTGATTCTGTGATTTCTTTTCTCTTCATGATCACCATCGCCGGCTCTCTCTCGATCACTCAATTACTCAATCACTCTATGACGCTCTCACTCTTCCTCGGATGGCGCGATCTCGCAGGCTACTGATTTGGTCGACAGGCAACTCCATCCTTCCCACCAACCAGCTAGTCTCCAGAGGAGTTGACCAGTTAGTTCGGTCACTTTAGTCACATACCGTGCTGCGCGTCTCGATCTATCTTGATCCTGTTGCTCGGGAGAGGCGTTGCTCGGTCTTCTGATCTCGTTAAAGGGACAAGCTGACTGTCCCTCCTTCGCCTGGTTCCCACTCACACCTCACATGGCTTTTGGCGGGCCAGTTATAAAAAGAACGTTGCTGATGATGCCACTCGTGGTTATAATTCCAAACCAGATATATGATAATACTCGGCCACTTGGTTATATCGATGCCATCTCATTGGTCTCCCGCATTTTTTATATGATGGAGTTTCCCTTCAGCCTTACCATACTTGACTACGTAAACTAGTCGGTCACTTGGTTAGATACTTGAACATATGTACTCATCATCCAGTGACCAGGTTTTTTTAGTCCGCGGGATGCCGACTTCCTCGATGATGCTGTGCTTGCCATGTGCTGTAACTGGATTTCTCTGGATTCATGCAGCGGTCGACTCCATCTCCGAAACCTCCCTTTCACCGGCCGTCAGGAAATATGTATGTATGTACTCCGTAGATGGATACCTAGGTATGTATCAAGAAGAATATAATACGGAGGACCCGATGTTGCAAGAGATGGAGCCCGTCTCGTTTCGTATCTTCATCTCGTTCTCTTCTCCTCTTGCTCTCCCTCTCTTTTCCTCCCTCTCTACCCCTCCAAACCCCACCATGAAGCCTGTCGTCATGCTCATGTATCTCGCTCGCTATCGTCTTCGTCTTCTTGTTTGTCCTCGTTCAACCACCTTGAAACATCACCGAAATTGACCATCTTGACTTTCTCCTCCCCTTTTGGCTTCTGTGCCTTTTCCTTACCTTTACCTTTACCCCTGAGGAACCGCGTCACAGACAGGAAAGTACCTCTACCTTCGACCTCGAGCCCCTTTCGAACCTTCACTCTTCACTTTGATTAAACCCTCCTTCGTCTCCATCTCCGTCTCCCGTCTTTGACATATATTATTTATTACCCTCGCCCTCCCCGCCCCCCCAAGACAAGACACGGCAGGACAAGAGGCGTTGGCCCTTCTTCCCCGCCGCCTATCATAGGCAAGAATCACCACTCTGGCTTCGGATAGACGGCCTGCGGCATTGCGTCTCCCGCGCTAGGGTTACCATTCATGACGGCCGGATGGGGCCTTGTTCGTCGATTCTCTGGTTCCATGTACATAAGTACATACGTAAACTGATGCGCTGCACATGCGTTTCTACCGCCTGTTCAGCCGCTCTTACCCATGGGCCGGGACCAGAGCAGTAGGTGGTAGATACATGATAAAGAAAGACGAAGAAGAAATATCGCACGAAAGAAAAGAAAAGATGGCCTGACCTTTTTTTGTCTTTGCTCCTCGTCGAACAACCCCGTTTATCGGTCCAGGGATTGGCGAAACGTCATCGTTCATCGTCCCATCCTGGTCACTCACAACCCCCCGGTCGAATTCATGTACATATACACTATGTATGCTTGAGTACGGAGTATGTATGCATCTCATCGCCTCTCATTATTCCTTGGAGGGAGGCGGGGAGGGGGGGAGGGGGCCTGGGAAGGCTTCTAGGGGTGAGCAAATCACAGCAGTCAATCTCCACGGAAACGTCCCAGCCCACAGGGCTTGCCCTCCCGGCGGAATGGAGTCACTCTGTTTGGCCGCTCTGCCTTTTTTATCTTTGAGGGTAGAGAGAGAGAGAAAGTTGAGTTTGGAGACTCTGCCTTTCCCTTCGCCGTTTAACTTACTTAGCATGTCCGGAGTACGGAGTAACTAACAAAAGCTACCAACATAAGACCCAGATCAACGAACAGGCCACTGGTTTGCCCTTCAGTCTCTCTTCTTCACCGACCTTTTGACATCGTACAAAAACGTCATTGTTCATCCTACTGAGATCTCTCTCGATGGCATCATCTCATTACTGGCCCGAAAATTCTCCGTCCAGATCAATGCAACCACGGTGCCGGGGTGAGGACCGTCAGAGGACAGGTAAACAGCGCTAACCACGGAGTACTTGATTGCTAGTTAGCTGGTCAAACTAGATAGCAACTAGTCAGTTAGAAACAGACGACAGACGGGATACCTTAGGACAAGAACCTGTCGCACGGACCGTCTGATTTTCCTTTTCATACTGTCAGGGGTTGTCTGTGCCCTGTAAGAAGCCATCAGTACATACATAGTTAGTGTTCGAGGATGAGCCTTGTTGGCGATAGCGTCGTTTGTCGCAGAGACGTTCCCGAAGGATGCAAAAAAGTGGTGACACACTCGTTTCGTTTCCATACGTATACGGAAAAGTGTCTGGTTGGATTCACGCCTCTGCATACGGAGTGCATATTATTCTTTCCAACCTGCATAACAGCGGCAGCCGAAGGATGAGAAATGATACATATAGATTGCCTCTCCGCATTATATACCGTTGTTTGTGGAGTATCCCTGCCGCTCGACGGCATTAAACTGTTTGATATCCCTTGAGAAAGTCCGCCTTGATCATCGCAGATTCCATCAACATGTTCGTATATTACCGCGGATTGCCCCTCCTCGAAGGTTGAGGATCTGTTTCCCGCGCGAAAACTGAATTCCGCGTGACAGCTCATTCTTTTTCATAAAGATGTGCGATGGGGAGGGGGGCCGGCGCAAACAGGCATATACGTAACTGTGGTATGTATCACACATAGGCGTCGCAAGACAATCGTCAGCTAATATGTAATATACTCCATACGCTGTCGATTATGTCTGTTTCGTATGTGCCTGCCATGCGGTGCACGGAGTATATAAACTATGGTACAAGGGCCGTCTCTGGGCTGCATCGGGGAAGCGAGGATTCTCACGCCGGAGCCTTCGTTTCTTCGCGCCAAGATGCGTAACTCGAGAAGACGAGAATGTCTTGTTTTCGGCTAGAGGTTGCGTATCTACAAAGTGTGTACCACCCCCCGCGATAACAGGCTATCGCGGCAGACGATTGGCATCACGATATCCCCACGCCATGGCTAGTAGTAGCGCGTTAACTAGTTGAGGCTGTTGTGGACAAAGGTGCTATCTTAGTCATCGTATTCGGAGAACGTCCATGCTCAGCTTTTTTTTATAGAGCGGCGGCGTCGTAAGGGCGAGGGAAGGAAGATGGCAATTTTCCGACTTCATCCATCTGGAGGTGTCACGAGGATCCAGGGCATCGCATTGTACCATTATCTTAGATCCTGGATACGCAGTTTTACTTGTGGATTATTATCCAGTGCATAAAAGCACATGTAATCGAGCATATTTTGATAACATTGAAAACTGATGCCGACAAAAGATGTGATCCATTGGCCCCAAATCCTTCAATAGTACTTTAGTAGAGAATGAAACACAAACACCAATCAATGACCTAGAGCGTGAAAGAGCCTAGAAAGGAAAAAGCAGGATTGGTTTGATGTTGGAGAATATTTTTGACTTCCCACCACATGTGAGAGCTGAGGGTATCAAGACAAAGTTAGGCTGGAAATAACACAAGCAAAGTAGCTGGTTACCCGGTTACCTTGGAGCTCTACTGAGCTTTGTAACATGTTCGATCTCTATTTGTATCAGGTCGAAGAAACCGTGACACAGGCTGGAGTAACCAAGGCGCATGGCTCACCAACTAGTGAGTTCCCCAAGATCATCTGCCTCGTGGTCACACTGGAACTTGACTTCAATAAAACACCTCAAAAATATGGCTGCTTTTCTCTTGCTCATCCCTCACACCACCTTCAAAAAAGGACTCATTTTTGAGGAGCTCTAATGTGGCTTGGGGCTGATACTATACGAGTTCGCTTAACGAACGTGGAGAAGTAGCCTCAGGCTCATCTTGTGCTTCTTTTTCGCCGCTTTGACTTGAATTCCAGCAGTTTGTTCGCCTCATCCTCATGTTATCTGATCGCCTTCAGCCTGGTTTCAACCTGGTGATTCGTTTTCTCGAGGTCCAGAGCTTCGGGGCTGCTTGGTTGCCTCTTGCTTCTTCGTCTTCTTCTCTGCGAGGGACGAAGAAATATGTACCAAGGTAAAAGCAAAAACCAAGAGATAAAAATAAAAATAAAGATGATCAGATAAGACATGATGACATAATATGTTTATCATTACATCAGCATGTCTTACTCAGCCATGACGTCGTTGGTTCGAGGCGGGCTTTGGCATCAACCAACAACTTCGATCCGTCCGAGTTGCTGTCTCAGTATACCCATCGTTGGAGATGTCGACATCTTTCGCTCATGAGGACTAGCCGATGACAGCGATATAATGGTTTTCTGCATGCGGAGTCCTCCCCGCTGTAGTCATTGGAATAATGTCGACATCCATAAATTCAAAGTCGGGTGAGCACGAGCTCCAACACCATGCCACCGCCGATGGAGATGCAAATGAGCCACATAACCTCCCAGATTACCGGACAAAGTTCATTAGTTCAGAGCACCTTCAGCAGTTCAAAAAGGCTCTCGATGCACCGGAAGCACTGTCCCTCACTGCCGTGAACGACTGGCGGCCCATCAATCAACGAGTACGAAGGCCGGCTAATGGCCGTAAACTAAGGCGACGACGAAAGGATGAAACTAGAGAGGGATTCGTCTATACACTGCTGAAATGGCCGTTTCTTATATTTGTTTTGACTTGGATAGCTGTGCTGAGCTTTTGCTATCTCCTCACCCGCTTCTATATACTCGTTTACGAGAATCTATTTTCCTGGAAAGGGAAAAGACGCAGATTACGGAAGGCACTTCGATCTACGGACGAATACGAGAAATGGAAAAGCGTAGCAAAGGAACTGGATACATTTTTGGGGAATGATGTTTGGAAGGAAGACGACGAGTATGCTTACTACAACCATGTTACGGTTAACGCTGTCGTTACACAGCTACAGGACTTGAGGGCGAGGATCCAAGTTGCCACAGACGAAGGCCGTAGCCCGGAAAGAGAGCACGCGGTCGAAGAGCTTCGTGCTCTTCTCGAGGCCTGCATCAAGAACAACTTTGCTGGCGTGGAGAACCCAAGACTCTACAGTGAAACCTACTTTGGGACAAAGCACCTCGTTCAACAGTTTATCAACGAAGCCGAGGCATCCTTGAAGATTTTGGTTGAGAATAGAGGGTTACAGGACCATGATAAAGCGCTTTTCTTCAAGCACCTTGACACAAACTTTGGTCGAACGGCTCTGTGCCTCTCTGGAGGAGCCACATTTGCCTACTATCACTTTGGCGTGGTTCGGGCCCTTCTAGACAATGGGGTGTTACCTGATATCATATCTGGAACATCTGGAGGTGCCCTTATCGCTGCTCTAGTTGCCACAAGAACAGATAATGAGCTGAAACAGCTGCTTGTTCCCGCTCTTGCACACAAGATCAAAGCCTGCCGTGATGGTTTCTCCGTTTGGGTGAGACGATGGTGGCTCACGGGTGCCCGATTTGATACCATGGACTGGGCGGAACAGTGTAGCTGGTTCTGCCGTGGTTCGACAACGTTTCGAGAAGCGTATGAGAGGACAGGTCGCATTTTAAATGTATCTTGCGTGCCGTCCGACCCTCATTCCCCAACCATCCTGGCCAATTATTTGACCTCCCCCAACTGTGTAATCTGGAGTGCTGTCATTGCATCTGCTGCGGTACCAGGCATTTTGAATCCTGTTGTCCTCATGATGAAGAAACCGGATGGAACCCTGTCACCGTATTCCTTCGGCCACAAGTGGAAGGATGGCAGCCTTAGGACAGATGTTCCCTTGAAAGCACTAGATATCCATTTCAATGCTACTTTTCCCATAGTCTCACAGGTAAGTCTAGATAGACCAGGCGGCATGCTACCCGTCTTATTACCGAGTGATTCACTAACAAGGTCGTACAGGTTAACCCGCATATCAGCCTCTTCTCTTTCAGCACTCGTGGCAGTGTTGGCCGCCCAGTTAGCCACCGCAAAGGTAGAGGCTGGCGTGGCGGCTTTCTTGGTTCTGCCATCGAACAATTTATCAAGCTCGACCTCACAAAATGGTTGAAGGTTCTCAGACGCCTCGAACTGCTCCCCCGCCCGCTTGGACAAGACTGGAGTGAGGTCTGGCTCCAGCGGTTCGGTGGCACTATAACCATATGGCCTAGATCGGTTTTATCTGATTTTTACTACATTCTATCAGATCCATCCCCGGAAAGATTCGCCCATATGCTACACGAAGGTCAATCAAGTACCTTCCCTGCAATTCAATTCATCAAAAACAGAATGAAGCTGGAGAATGTTATACGTGAAGGTTACTTAAAGTATACTTCTCCTGACAGGAATCCCAATGCTACGGACTCCGGAATCCGACGAAGGCGTGTACCTACCGGGTCCCAGTCTGAACGGGTTATTGAAGCTGCGATCAACGGTGAACAAACTGTCGATCTGTTAAGTGATCAAAACGTGAACGGAACCTATACTTCTGATGAACAGTATACAACAGATGAACATCCCGGGATGGATCCAAAACAGATACCCTCTCCTCCCAAACGTCGTGGTAGCAGTATTATAGAAGAGCTGAAGCGGCAATCTGCTGTGTTCTTCGGTGATGATGATGACGATGACGACGACGACGGTGCCGCAACCCTAAGCGAGTGATTGACAAATAGCCTGCCATTAGTTACACTAAGTCACCGCTTTCTATGATCGACCGGCCTGAGCCAAACCTTCCGCCGCCCACGGCAAACCCTGCAGCAGTTTGCCTGATCTGGGTTTATCTTTAGCTTTCCAACGACACGTCGTACTTGCTTATTCTCCAGCTTTATGCATACACTTTGAGTGCAAAGTTTTGGATTTCAGTTTCTTCTGGGCTAGATGGCAAATGGGGCTGGCGCATGCTGAGCGGTTATCACATCTAATTTGTTGTTTGATTCGAGGGATACCATATTCGTTTTATTGCAGTAGCGTTATTGGATAGATATCATGTAACCTTTTTCCTACATGGTACACGGAAAAAACCTAAGATTGAAGAGTGACTGATTGACCGATATTGATTATGCATGATAGATTACCACTACGATCGTGGTAATCTTTGATACCAACATGTACATATGCCGTTCCTCGAGAAGTATATCTGCGGTGCTCTAAAGCTCGGCCAACCTGAAGAACAATTCTAGCCTATGGTAGAGCTCCCTGGCATTTTAGATTCGAGCTGCAGGGATAAACCCAAAAATGGAATAAGATTGCAGTCGGATCAAGATCAGATCACAAGCCATTGCTCTGTAATCCTCTTGCAAAGTTCTTTTTCACCTGATTGCGAATAAAGGCATTGCAAAGCGTATGCCGCCTGTCGAGAGAAATCTTCCAGCCAGGCCTCCCCACCCTGTCTACACGCTGGTGTCCCTCCACCGCCATCTATATTTCGGACCTTTTGACGCTCGAGTTCGATCTCTTCGCCTATTTCAAGGCATTTCTGATAGCCTTCGACAGCGAGGTGACCAATTCCCAATAGTTGCCAAACCCGAGCAAAGTTGAATTCAACTTCTTGCTTTTCTTGCAGTATTGAGCTTTGGGACCGAATCCGACGGTACTCTTGCATGAAAGCTAAACCTTCCATGACAAGGTAATGTCTATTATCTGACTGACGTTTGAGCGAATGATTGATATAACTAAGCCCAATGGACAGGAGAATCGCTGGATTCTCAGGGTCAAGGGCGTATGCGCGGAAGAAGTAATTCAAAGCATTTGTAAAACTGTTCCCAGCATAGAGGATGTGTCCGTATAGCACTAACAAGGCAACGTCCATCTCCTCAGCGGGTATAAATTCGCCCTCTGCATCTTTTGTCGTGAGACTTGCGCGTTCTTGAAATACGGACTCGGGCGAGCGTTTAAATGGCGATAAAGGGTCAGGGGGAAGCGAATAATCAACTGCTTTGACTTGCCGAAGCATAAACTTCATACTTGGTGCCGAATGAAAGAGAGATCTTTGGGGGTTACCACAGACCCTACTTAGGGTCACAAACAGTCGATAAGCATCGGTGACGAATTGGTATTCTTTCATAAACCACCGTGCAATATCAGATAATCTGTCTTCATCCTTGAGCCGAAGAGCGCATGCTGCAGGAAAAGGATTCATTAGTGATATTTTCTTTTATTAATATAAATAGAGAACTCACTAAACCAGCATATATATATTCTGCATGTAGATGCTTTGGAATGATACCATATATTCGCATCAGCCGCCGCACCAAGCGTGTCATACGCTTCGTCCCCTTGTCCCTGGCCAGATAGAACAAGGGCATACTCAAGGAATATATCCAACCAACTATCAAAATCTATACCGTGGTAGTCATTGGGTATAGAGTTAGCATCAATTTCAGGGGTTCCTATAGAATTGGTCAGATTTAAGACAAGAAACGTTCCTTGGGAGAAATATTTCTTACCCATCGAGGCTTGAATACGGTCGGATATCTCCTGGAGTTCATCAAGGAGGTTTGTGGACTTTAATCTTCCAGCCTTGCGTTGCGCTTCCCTAGAGTATCCTAAAAAGGTCATCTTCTTTTGTAACGGAAAGAAAACTCTGTTGGACCGGAAATCCCACAGCAAAGCATATGCGATATCAAGCCAGTCTCTGGTAGCATCTTGCTGGCCCTGTCGCATGTACGGCTGCAATTCTAACATCTTTGTGTATAAATACCTCACATTTTCACCATCTGGTTTCGCCACATCGCTTGTTCGTTGTTCTCTTGGTAGGCCGGTAGCGGAATGTGGGATAAATCCAATACTAGTACTTTCTTCCGCGGTAACCAAGTCTGTAGCAGTTGGGGTTAGGGTACTTTCGGTAGAAGCTAGTTGGTCGACACTTTTGAGAGCTCGTGGTTCAACATCTCGGAAATAATTTGCCAGCTTTCCAATGTTTGGGCCAAATCTAGGCTTCCGGCGTGACAATACCTCTTCCCGACCAATGTCAGCTGCCTCTGTGATGTACTTGAGAGCTTGGTCAGTCATGCCCATCTTCTCATAGAAATGGGCCAGCTTAGTTCGTGCCTCTATGTTAGTTTTGTCGTATTCTGCCACTGTTAAATAGCATCTTTCGGTTTCTTCCTTATTTCCGCAGGCATCATAGCATTCTGCCAACGCCAAAAAAAGGCTAGTATTTGCAAAGTCCTGGACATGCTGAAGGGGTATATAAAATCGGAGGGCTTCTTCATAGAGCTGAATATCCTTCATTGAATCGGCTGCTTCCCTGAACAAATCTCCATAATCAAACAACTTGGCACCAGGAGAATTATCCTCTGGTTCAAGCCAGTTAAAGTGAAACTAGATTAATATTAGCCCTGGTTTGACCTCGAATATTAATTGTGTAATGGGTGTATATACCAGTGCTTCATCTTTATAGCCCGTTTTCAAGCGGTATACCCCGAGTTTTATCCGTAACTCGAGAGGTAGTCCGATGCCATATGATTCAAGAGGGTATTGGCCTGGGACAAACCAGGGAGTTGCGCTCCGGCGTGGATAGTCATCCGCATCCCATTCGCGGTCATCATCAATTAGGTCCCAGCTAGCATCTTCTTTACGACCTAGAAGCCACCTGGCCAGACTATTGAGGGATAATATTCCAGATAGGTAGTTATGCTCGTAGGAGAAAAGCTCAACATATATGTTCACATCAGACCAGGTGAAATCTTCTACCTCCTCCGGGCGGAGGCCCATGTTGTACGATATACACCTCTCATAATGAGCTTTGGCTTTTCCTATTTCCCCTAGCTCAATATAGAGTGCGGCCAAGGGTCTTAAGGCGTTCGTGTTATGGGGAAGGAACTCAAGTATTTTTTCATACTCCTGAACGGCTTTTCCTTTATAACCTAACTCTTCATTTATCGCAGCCCTTTCAAATCGTATATCGTGTCGCTTTGGATCGATATCAATCACACGGCTATAGCAATAAACAACGTCGTCTAATGCAGCCGCTCGATCGCTGTCAGCTCTCTCTAAAATCAGATTAGCAACCTCAAGCCAGATTTCTGGCTTCCTTCGTGTATGGGCTCCGGTAAAAAGTGCATATAATGCCTTTTTCTTCTGACCCTGGGCTAGGAAAATCTCGGAAAGTAAAACGTGAGCTTGGAAAATCTCTGGGTTTAGATGAATAGCCTGCTTCACCAAGTCAAGAGCTCGGTCATAATCAGCGTCAATGAAAGCAGATGTAGCCTCAGATTGTATGTTCTTGAATTCCACAGTCGGCTCTACAGGCCTCAGCGGTCCACGTCTGGGAACTCTACGAATGCTGTCGTCGTCATATCCATGAGAAAAGCCAGACCGCCGGCTTTTCCGGGCAACTCTTGACAATACGGCATCGTCATCATAATCTTGGTGAACATAACCATCGTCGTCACTTTCATCGTCCTCTTCTTCATAAATTTCACCTTCTCTATGTTTTGAATGAGCATCGATTGATTATCAACGGAGAAGAATACTGAAGACTTACAGGGAATTATCCTCTGAAGACATCAGTGAGGTGCTCTCTTCAGACAAAGCTTGATCTATTTCTTCCGCTGTTCCTGACTGTGAAGGTCTAGGGTAGCTGGTATCATGGCTTGATGGTCGACTCCTTGGCCATCCCATCAGCTTTGGGTCCACCTCCATACTGAACTGGGACGTTGTATTTGGGTATGAATCATTGACACAGGGAGTTATTGATAGCTGTTATCCGTACTCCATACACTGTAGGAAGGACGATAAACGCACCTAGCTTGATGAAGTGCCTAGGTAGTTAGGTGCTATTCAGCATTCACTTTTTCTGTAAAGTAATGATAGTGAGTCAACCTTATTTTTTTTAACTCGAGAAAAGAACACATCGCTGCTTTCCCCCACGCGATCGCTGGGTTTCGACTGTCTTCCACGCAACAAGCCACACAAGTTACAGGTAGTTAACTCTGCGGCCTTCTTCACAGTGCTATCTCGACATCCCACACGCCCTATAGACGTCATCCGCCTCTTTGGTCGGCTGGTCATTCAGGCGGGATGGTGTTCAGAACTCTTGGCTATCACTACTAAGGGTGGAATCCTACATGATACCTACTATCCTATATAATGGTTGGCTGGTCGTCCAGGCGGGATGGTGTTCAGAACTCTTGGCCATCACCACTAAGGATGGAATCCTACATGATAACTATCTACTATCCCATGCAATGGTTGGCTGGTCGTTCAGGCGGGATGGTGTTCAGAACTCTTGGCCATCACCACTAAGGGTGGAATCCTACATGATATCTACTATCCCATGCAATGGTCGGCTCTCTATACCCTGGAGCTCTATCAAGTACGGAATAAACAATAAATCCAAGGCATGATGATTGCCTACAACAAAGACTACCGATATGCGGAGTCCTACCCGGTCGATAGAGTCGGCTCCTCCCTACTACCCATGATCACACCAAGGCTTACCACCCTGGTTGAGTCACGGGTAGTTAACTAGTAGGCAACTATGAAACAACAACCTCCCAAGAACTTGAGCATCTCCATCCTAAACTACCTATATACCCAAGTACACGCTCCGTCTCTCTTGAAATTAGGTAAAATGATTCATTCATCCTTTACATTTACGAAAACAATACCAACGGTCGTCGAACCAGTAGGTAATAGCACGCCCTGCGGTATACGTATGGCAGGCTACTTACAACACGGAGCATTCTCCCTACTTAGTACTAAGCTCCATACCAACGACTGCAGGATCGCCAGGATTACAGGTACTCTCTTGCGCGGCCTTCGTGTTTGACTACGTAAAACATGAGCTAGCAACGTTCCTGTGCCATCTATGAGGATGTTTACCAGGGCTATGCGGATACATCGTGGCTGAGATCAACCACCGCTACAAAATCCACTTCGAGATTTACGTATATTGCCTTGCGAATATCACCGAGCATGTTGTTGGAAACTACCGGAATGCTTAAACTAGCTGTTACTTCAGCTCTCATCATGGATATGACATGATGCTAGCATACCAATTAGCCTCCTTCGGCCGTCTGCACTGGGTTAGGCATCATGGCGAACATGAGGTATATAAGACTGACTGAAGCCTCGATTGAGTGAATTGGAACCAGCAAAAAAGCATCTCATTCATTGTTCCCAAATACCAGCATGCGTCTTTCAAACACCCCCTCCGTGGCCTTGAGCCTATTGCTCGCTGGATCTGCCTTCGCAAAGTACGAGTCTTGTTCGTTACTCGGACCAGATGTACCCATCCCAAAAGCTGTGTCGCAGTCATCTGCGTTCAAAGATGCCCTTGTTTCTCTGAAGAAAGCGATCTCCGATGCCATTGGAACTGGGAAAACGGCGTACGGCAACCTAGATGCGAGTGAGACTTCTTTTTCCCTCGACATCTTCTCCGTCCACGAGGAGGATGCCTTGTTCACCTACCACTACGACGCACCTGAACTCCCAGACCCCAAGGAAGGCGTGAAGAAATTAGACTCCAACAGCATCTACCGACTAGGCAGCATTTCCAAGCTCCTGACTATGCAAATCTTCCTCGCTACCGTCGGTGATATCTCATTCAACGAGCCCATCACCAAATATATCCCGGAGCTGGCGGCATTTGCAACACAGCACGCAGCAGATGACGATATCGACTTCATGGACTGGGATTCGGTAACTATCGGGGCTCTCGCCTCCCAACTTGGAGGAATTCCGCGAGACATTGCAGGTTCTCCTGAAAGCGACGCGCGGGCAATAGATGATCTCCCCGATGGCGTGCCAGCCCCAATCTTCTCGCCCTTACCTGAAAATATCACCGATGCCGAGTGCCCAAATTTCGATGCCGTACCTTGCACGAGAGCCGGTGTACTCGGAAGCATCAATGTTCAGCACCCGGCATTCGCCCCGTCTTGGGGGCCGGCATACTCTAACGTGGCATATACTCTGCTGCAGTACGCACTGGAGGATATGTCAAAGCAGTCTTTCCCAGATCTCTTTGCCTCGAAGTTTATCAAGCCGCTGCAACTAAAAGATACCTACTACTCAAATGCTCCCATAAGCCAAGGCATCGTCCCCTACAATGACACAGAGGCCCAGTACACCAACGATCTGATGGCTCTTTCCCCCGGCGGCGGTTTCTACTCCACAACTAACGACATGCGAGCAATCGGCAAAGCGATACTCAACTCCACACTACTATCCCCAGCACAGACTCGCCGCTGGATGAAGCCCCTCACCTTCACCGCAAACGATGCCGTGCTCGTCGGTGCACCCTGGGAAATCCTCAAGGCACCCTTACCTGAGCGGGCCACCTGGATGTACACGAAGGGCGGTGACATCGGTGTATATTCTACTCAGATAATTCTCCTTCCCGACTACGGCATCGGTTTCAACATCCTGGCAGCGGGAGACAAGGCCAAAGAGGTCAATCCTATAATCGCCGACTTCGTTGCTGCCATTGGTATCCCAGCCTTCGAGCAGGCCGCCAAAGAAGAAGCAGGCAACGTGTACGCTGGCACTTATACCCGACCTGGGTCGAATGACACCTTGGTCCTCGCCGTGGATAAGAATCCAGGCCTGCTTGTCTCCCGTTTCCTTATTAATGGTACGGACGTCGTGACTAGTTTCGGTGGCGAGGGTAAGCAGCTCCGAGTGGTCCCCAGTGGGCTGCACGGCGGGAAAGGAAAGCGGCAAGGGTTCCGGGTGGTTCTTGCACAGAAACCGTCGCCTGAAGGTGCGTTTGTGAATACTTGCACGGATTGGTATATAGTATCTGCAGATGTGATTGCAGGGGTGTCGCTGGATGATATAGTCATTACTTTGAACGCGGATGGGGACAAGGCGGTGGAGGTGAATGCAAGGGGGTATAGAGTGGCTTACTCGAGATCTTAAGAAACCTTAGATATATCTATTTGCCTTATAGTTACTAGATCCAAGAAATTGATACAGTTTGGTTATGCATGATGAATCTCAGGGCGCATCTGTGGGCCTCAGCACAACAGTCACCAGAAAAGTAAAAAGCGCCAAGGGCAAAGAAGTCAACCGCGACCAGAATTATACTTAAACACTGGAACTGCTTGATGACGAGTATGGAGTCTGGAAATTATAACCGAATCGCATGATCCACTTGGCTAACTCCGCCTCACCCTCCTCACCTTAGCCTCACCTGTGCCTCACTGACTAAGGGTGATTAAAACGGCCTGCCTCCCTAGAACCAACAGGGGATTTTGCCAAAATCCTTATCCCTCGTTAATTATACTAGGTAGGCAGCCATGAAGCCAGACAGACTTTGAACTCTGGGGAAGATTAGTCATCCAAAATAGTTAGTTAACTAAGCTCACGAAGCAACCTCGGCATAAAAGAAATGACTTCGCCCTTGGGCAAGCGACGAGATTTGCTTTCTCCACGATGGGACACGGCCGATGGCAAAGCCCGGCATTTCCAGGGCTTGGTCCCCGTATAAATATGCGGACATAGTATACCGCCCTGTCAGGCTGGCCCGTTCCCTGGTTTCTTGGTTTATATTTTGACTGTCACTTGCCCAAGGTCCACGAGTAACTAGGGGATACCTAATATCCATCAACCGCGATCTACAGCTAGAAAGAGAAAAATGCAAGATATCACTTTCAAAGGCTGGGTTAGCGTCTCAGCAACCTCTCCTTTGACATACACTACATACGAACCCAAGACTTTTGCCAACACTGACGTTGATATTGCTATATCTCACTGCGGTATATGCGGCTCAGATATTCATACCCTACGGTCCGGATGGGGACCAACAAAATATCCCTGCGTGGTGGGACATGAGATTATCGGCCATATTATTCGAGTTGGCCCGGAAGTACCTAAGCTAAATTCTCCATCTCAAGGCTTGAAGGTTGGAGATCGGGTTGGTGTTGGGGCGCAGTCAGGTTCCTGTCTCCGTGTTGATTGTGAAGAGTGTTCATCGGGCCTCGATAACTACTGCTCGCATATGACTGGAACCTATAACGGAAAATACCCTGATGGAAGCAAATCATACGGTGGATATGCGGACTACTGGAGAGGCCCGGCGTGGTTTGTGTTTAAAATCCCGGATGGTCTTTCTAGCGCAGTTGCTGCCCCTTTGCTATGCGGTGGTGCAACTGTCTTTTCGCCATTACTTCGAGGCGGGGCCGGGCCAGGAAAGAGTGTTGGTATCATTGGTATTGGGGGCCTAGGACATATGGGGCTGCTTTTTGCTAAAGCCATGAAATGCGACAAAGTAGTTGCTATTTCCCGAACGAGCTCAAAGAAATCAGATGCTCTCACCGGGCTTGGAGCTGATGTTTTCATTGCCACCGATGAAGAAAAGAACTGGGCCAAGGCACACTCACGAACACTCGATTTGATTATTTGCACGGTCTCGTCGGGTAATATGCCTGTTGAGAAATATCTTCGCCTCCTTAGACGCGGGGGTGAATTCATTCAGGTTGGCGCACCTGAGGATCCTTTCCCAGGGTTTAGAGTTGGAATGATGATGGGCAAGGGACTAAAGATTGGCGCATCTGCTATTGGCTCTACGGAAGAGATTAGAGCTATGCTTAAGCTCGCAAGTGAGAAAAATATTCACCCCTGGGTACAAGAGCGGCCAATGTGGAATGTGAACCAGGCTTTGGTAGATATGCATGAAGGAAAGGCTAGATATCGATACGTGTTGGTCAATGGGACTGAAAGCAAGATAAAGCTTTGATTTTTCCTTGCAATCCCAGTCTCGATGCATATCTCAAGCTATACGCTTTTCCCATAGATGACGATTTTATAGTCAGAAGAACCTCAGCCTAATTTACCTTCTACATGGGCTTAAAGAAATCGAGCCTCCTCAAAGGATGAGGGAAATTAACGTCGACTAGGCTCTGGTTCTGGCATTCCGGAGCCTCTAGCACTCTATACGTTTGATATAGTCTAATAAAGTAACCCTTTCGATCATGTAACATCCACTTGATTATCCCAGTGTACAAACGTCATGAACGCTTGACTATTATACCAACGCTTAAAAATATAAAGCTGGCTACGTGAACCGCTGGCAAGAATTGAGTCAAAAGTAAAGATCCAAATGCCAAAAAAAAACCTGTATCTCAGCAAGGGGTATATACAGAAATCCAAATTAATACAGGAGAAACTACTATCCTCCGCCACCTCCACCACTTCCTCGGGCGTGCTTCCTGCGTTGCAACCTTTCAAGTAAGGTCATCCCAGTAAGCAGAAACATACGGTCAAAGTCGGGTCCGTAGTTTTTATTCAACTGGAATTTTCCCATCTTCTTGATGCTTTTGATGCCGGTAGTAGAATAGATCCCCAATAGTTCACCAGATCCTTCGTCGAGTAGCTTGAAATTTGATTCGCTGAATTTATTGGGAACGGATCCTTCCACTCCAATGCTGCGTGTTCTCTTCCAGAGGAATCCTTTCCTTACTCCGTTGACTGTCATTTCGAAGCGGTATTTGGAATGGTCCTTGCTCTCCTTTCTCAAGTCTTCCCACACCATGTTAAGAGTGTCTGCTGGGTCTCCTAGGCCAATCTTTGAGTGCGAAGAGAACTTGAGGAAGTTGGCGATTCCCACGACTGGGCCACCCCTTTCCCCAACGTGGAAAGTTATCTCTGGCTTCCCAGGAGTAAACGTGGAGGTTCTGACGTAGTAAAGGGTCGTTTTGTCGTTGGACTCGGAGATCCTGTAGTTTGTGAATGAGGCGGTTTGGTACACGTTGTATATGCGATGGCTCTCATCTGCCCCTAAGTCCCCTGGAGCTGAGAGTTGGGTATCAACTGAGGCTGCCTCAGAGGCATCATCATGGCCATGGGACTTGGCCGACTCTGCGTTCGACGTTTTGGCGGATGCCATATTTCTCAGAGGTGACAAGTTACCATATAGTAGTTAAAGCGATGAAGGAAGTTAACTAATTTTCCAAGCTATGTTGCAGGCGGATGAGGGCCCTTTTATGTCTAAATCGCCTCAAGGGGAGGCTAAAGTATTAGCATCAAACCGTTACCATTCTATCAAGCAGATCACTCGGATTAGCCACTCACGTCTGCCAAACTCAACAGGTTGTTTGATAGGCTGTTGATCGACCAGCAACTCTTCGCCTTGGCCTTAACCTAAAGTGGTAATTTCTTCGTATTGAATGATGACTAATACATACACGTGATTACCAAAGGATAAACTTATTTCCGCTATGAGCTTGGGCCACTCATCTCAGTTAGGTAAACATTCAACTTTTTTCTCGAGTGACAGGTTGAAGACGTTGAGCAGCTTTTACTAGCAAACCACCCATCTTATCCAGCGTGCTCTCTCATTAGGGATTGGCTTACGGAGGAGACATTGTCTTTTAGAGTCACCTCTCAAGCTTATACAGCATAGTGGTTTGCTGCGCTCCAGTCCCTGACGCGTCTGATCCGTTCACACTCCTTACTTGCGCCGCGCGCCCCCATACAATACCTCCCTTCAAGATGTCATTTACTACTCCCTACAGCCCAGGAGCATTATCAACACCGGGCAAGTCTCGGAGTATTAGCTCGAACATGTCCACGACACCGGCTGGGATACCTCCATCCTCTACAGCGTCATTCACTCCTGCAGGCGCTCCACCGCTTGGGTTTGGAAGCTCGCAATCAGGAACACGACGTGCTTTGGACTTCTCTAGTAGCCGATTTAATCAGTCGACCGCTTCATACACAGACAATGACCTTTTATCCCTTTCTACCACATCGTCCAATTTCCCGCGAGAGCTTGATTCCCCTAATTCCAGCTACCTGTCACACCGGCCAACCAGATCGCCGCTTCACACCGGTCACAGGTCCATACTCAACAAGAACAAAGGAACTAGAGGCTCGTTTGACTCAAGTCGACGCATACAATTCTCTCAAGATAATGAACCATCTACTACAGATGCACGCGAACCGGAAGATAATGGAATAGGCTGGTCACCAAGCAAAGATGGTGGTTCGTTTACCAGCTCCCTTTTCCCGCAAGCTACAAAAGCCCAGCCGTCCCGGCTTTTAAGGAAACCGGTTATCTATTCGAATCCCGCTGGCGCAAAGCGCGCGAAACTTGACGAAACTTGGATACAGTCTACGTTACCGGAAAACGAGCAACCTCCGAAACAAAAGAAAGACTCAAACTTTCCTTCAATTATTAAAGATTTGACCGCCAGGGCAAACCTAGCTTCTGTTGATGAACCGAGCGAGCTATTATTGGGTATGGAGGATGCTATATGTCGCATGTATGATCAAGTCCGTGATCGTAATTCCGATGATGACATAGTCGACTCGAGCCTTTCGGCTGTATCCGATGAACTATCGTCCCTGTGGCAAAGATATTCACCAGTGCCAATGGAAGAAAAAGATGGTGTTCCTCTTAATGGTGGGATTGGGCCTGGAGACTCTTCACCAAACATCATGAAGGCTATATTCTTGAGCTCATTACTCCTCCAGCTTCACCACCCTCCACTACTCGAACCTAGCATCAAAGGCTCTAAATCATCACGCAGCATGTTCCGCGACTTAGTGATGAGAGACGAGCCTCTACCAAAGGTTCCGATACCCAAAGTACTGTTTCAATGGCTATGGAGATATCACAACTTGGAAACAATTCGCTTTGATATGCTTCACGACATACAACCAAACCCAACTGCCTCTCCAATGTTTTGGAAGTTTATTCTCAAATCTGTGCTGCGTGCTGAGTTTGATAACGTGATAACGCTTTTGGGTGAGGCAGATTTTAGCTACGCCAGGACTGCTATGGAGGATGGATATGAACAGCCGGGATACCATGGCTCCCAGCTACAAAATATCCAACAATGTGTGAACAAGGCTCTCCAGCTCCTTAAAACGTGTCCAGCTGTTCAGCGTGATGACTGGGATGTTAAAGGGGTTGAATGGGCCATGTTTAGGAAACAAGTGAACGCAGCAATACTAGATTTGGAAGATATGGCTGAGAATGGGCAAACACAGCTTTCTGACGACGAGGAAGGACCATTTGTTGCCTCTAATTTTGGTATCTCATTTCAACGCCCTGATTCTATGTCATTTAGCCATAGTGCGCGCATGGCAGAAAGCAGGATACCGTGGTCTGTATATCTAAACATCAAGGCCATGTATAACATCTTGTGTGGAGAAGCAGAAAGCATTTTGAAACAGTCTGAGGATTGGGTGGAGTCCACAATGGCTCTGACTGCGTGGTGGGATGGTGATGATGATAGCGATATTTCAGTTGGCGGAAAGAAGAAAGGGCCAGCTAAACGCCGTTCTCAGGCACCCCGGGCTGTCGACTCCAATACCGAAGAATCGTACCTGCGACGCCTTGACTACGCCTACAGTTCAGTAACAGATACCCTGGGATCTGCTGGTTTCCAAATCAACTCAATGAATTCCTGCGAAGTTGGCTTGGCTTCTGTTTGCGAAGGAAATGTCGAAAGTGTACTCAGACTTTTGCGAACCTGGTCTCTTGCTGTAAGCGCTGCAACGGCTGAGATTGCCAGCTTCGGAGGCTGGCTCGCGGCATCAACGGGGTCCGAACCAATGCGGGAATTCAATGAGAGTGACCTTATGGTCCTCAGCTACGGACAACCAGAAAAACCACTCCAGAAGGATGATATCTTAATTAACTATGCGGATGGTGTTTTCTCACGGGATCGGCTCGGAGATCGGGGAGCTAGAGAGGGGTGGGAGCTCTCCTTGGAGGTGCTGAGCCGCCTTGACGACCAGGAGCTGATGAGAACCAAGGTCAGAGAACTGATGGACAAGGTATCTCTGGACACAGCAGATAAAATGGACAAGGCTGTGGTTCTCTGTGCAGAAGTAGGCTTCAGCGATGAGGGTAGACGAGTTTCAGAGGTATGTTTAGCCCATTTTTCAATTTCAACTTCATATATTAATCGCTCTCCTATTGGACATGGAGCTAATATCATCACTTTTTCTTCAATTCAGCGATACGGCGATCAAGTTGCTGAGGTTTCTGAGAATTATGGCACTGCTCTGATCTGCTATGCGCGCGCTCATTGTTCTCGCAAGATTAAAAATGTCATTGACCTCCTGACATCCTTCTGTCTCATCCAGTCCAGAGCCTACCCTGCAAAGGACCAGTTGGATGAACAGCTTCGTTCTCTTCTATACGACCCATCGACCGCCTTGTCTGCCATCGCTTCCGTGGATTCGGAGGGTGCAGCTATGCTACAGTTTTACTTCAGTAGCTATGCTACGTTACGATCCTATTATGAGATCCGTGACGAGGCTGCCGGTTTAAATTCAGGCCAGGTGCCTAAGCATCGTCCACTTGCGCGGAAACGTGAGGCTGCCCGGGCGCTGGTGGCTGTTATCCGAAGTGCGGCTGATAGCATCTATGGCGGGTTGTATGATCCGGACAGGCAATCCGCTGCCCAGGTTGACGGGTTGCTTGTCTTACTTGGCGAAGCACTAGCACTCCTTGACCGTGAGTACTACCTAAATGTTCTGATCCTTCAACGTTTCTGACTTAAATGACTAATTTCGTGATGTAGCCAATCCCAACCATTTCCTGAACACCGAGCAACAGCTTATTATTCTTGCGGCGATTGAAGACCTTCAAACGGTTACTGAGCGTGTGTATGAACAGTGTGAGGCATGTCTCCAGTCTGCTCTATACCACCACCTACATTTCGATGATAGGAACAATACAGGGACTGGCCACTCATTCGGTGATGCCGGCCGGCCGATGTCTACTTCTTTCTTTGCGACGTCGCCCCAAAAGCTACTGAAGAAGTCCATCTCATCCACTACCCTGACAAGCGGGTTCAGTCTCATCGGGAGCGAGATGCTGGAAGGATCGCAGTCCATCAGCGGGTCAAAGGAGATGGGTGATTCCGGTGTCCTTGTCCCTAGATCGGGAAGCAAGGGCCAGGGTAAAGGCAAACAAAATGAAGAGCAGCAGATTCAGCGTGGGTGGGATTGGAGAGACAAGGCTCCTGACGGTATCAAGGGTGACGATATACTCAAAAAGCTGAGGCTGTTGCTTGCCCACGGGATGGCTTTTGGTGCATTAGACGGGGCTGTGGTTTAACTGGCTGGGGAAGATGGATAGTTGAAACGAAATACCGCGGGAAGAGGACGTTGAAGACATGGGTGATACATTGTACCATATTTTTGTGACTCAGCTACCTGTTGACGATATTAACTATTCGGAAACGGTCGTGTCCCTTATTGACTAGTGGCCGGGGAAGTTCCGCCCTATGACTTCGCTCAACATCCTCCAGTATTAAGTGCAGCAGTACAATACTCCGTAGTTCCGTGTGAGATGCAAGAAAAGGCTGGGCGGCTTCTTAGCCCAGCCGACAGATAAATGATGAATTTGCCACCGTAGAAATCGGGTGGGAGGAGATGCATGAAACACCCACGGGTGGAAAAGAGCAAGGCAGACTTGAGCAGATGGTGCGTGTCCACCCGACCAGGTCTGAAGCAGGTCTCAGGATATGCACAATAACTACCTCTCTTTTTGCAGGCTTGTCCAGCGCAAGGCCCGAGCAAGGACTCTGTATCAGTCTCTCACTTTTCGTTATCTTCAAGATGATTTGCTGGCGTGGCTGTGTCGCTAGTTTCATCGTGGCTGAGAGCTGCAGGGAGCCTCCAAGGATACAAACACGCTACCGCCGAGTTGGGCTAAGTGAAGCGCAAGGGAAGCAAAGTTCCATAGGGCTGAACTGTATTATTTATTCTCGTCTCTCGTATCATTCAGCATTCCCCTCCTTCGCCGGGCGCCGAAATTTGTCATCATCCCCCAGTCAGGTAATACGGAGGTATATCGTGAGCCTCTGATTAGAAGAGCACGGAGTACTACTGCGTAGTTACCTCATCCTCCGTTGTTCAACAGTAGCTAATCTAGTGAGACGTGGTGAGAGGCAGCTGTCCTCAGGCAGCCAGCGTTTGTCTCACCAGCCTCTAAGCCAAGTCGCAGCCACAGGGAACTAGCTAGCAGGGACGCCATGCATCATGGACGCAAGCAGCTAGTCTGCCAATGAATGTATCGGAGCCTCGGTGCTGCAGGCCATTGATACGTATCTCGGCTGCAGGACTTGACCTGACTAACTAGTGAGCTCTGATCGCACGAGAAAGAACAGGGCGACGTCCTCGGCGGCGATCATGAGAGCTGAAGAGCCCGGCTAAGAGAAACTCAATCACCGATGCTAGCTAATCAATAATCCACCACATCGCCGTCGCCGTCACCGTCATCGTCACCGTCGCCCGAGAGCGCTGCTGTACGGAGTTGCGCATATTGCGGTCGTTACTTGTGGTCGTTGGTTGTGGTTTGTGGTCGTCGTCGTCGTTGTCGTCGTCGTGGAGCTCGTATGTCGTTTGCACAAACAGTTTGGCGAGTTTCCCAAAAAAAGAACTGGGCTGGTCCCGTGACCGAGCAAGCCTCAACCTCAACTTCGACTTCAACTCCAGATATCAAAATCCCCATTCCGACTACCACCAAGCAGACGGAGTCACCATCACCGTCGACATCGCCAATCACCAGCACCGGCATCATGATCGTGATCCTTCCTCGTGGCCCCCATGTAATACAACAGCGGCTGAGGCATGACTGTTCTCTCTGGTCTCTTCCGTTGCTCGCGGACACTAAACTTGTGGCTCTGTTTAACTTTGAAAAGCAAAGAAAAACACACCACAAATCCTTCTTAACTTCAAGCGCCTTTACATACTTTCGGCTTTTCTTTTCTTTTTTTCTATCTCTTTCCAAATCCCATAATCTCCCTTAACGGCCCTTGGCTTAAGGCAGGGAGGCATCACACAGCTGGCCGGACAACTCCGCAGACAGGCCTCGATTCGATCCCCCCGTGAACATGGGACGAGTTGCATGCGGGGACGATGAGGAAGATTGGGAACTTCTAGCCTAAAAGATTCCCCGTTGATGCATCTGCTACATGGTCTCCACAGCGCTTGAGCTGCAGAGGACAGTTATCGCTAATCCCGCTGCTGGTAGAGTCACTGACTCCTTCACTTCTGAGCTGGAAAGCACAAACAAGCCAGGGGAGTATCGGTGTCTCCACTGCAGCTGTTTGTACGTATGCAGGGAAGAGCACTGCAGCGTCAAAACCTAACGTTAAATCAAACAGCTCCGTTGCCGACAGCGCTTGCATCCCAGCTGTTTGTGA